CGAAATAAATTCGCAGAATTTCATATAAAATATCAATTTACCATTCTTCTCAATATTGATCATATTTATCAGAAGTTAAACTTTACAATAAAGATATATTCAATTAATTTATATGTCCAATAAATAAATGCAATTGAAGTGATCGTATTTCTTTAAGGTTAGGCCATTGAGAGAATGTGGAAGTAATTTACAGTTTAATGCCTACAAATTATTATACTTATTTGGATTGATAGATGTAAAGTACTTCGATTTATTATTATGACCGATTTACTCATAATTGTGACACACGTGATGAAATTCAGTCAATCAGGTCATAAATAAAATTACTTCACTCAGCATCACTTTTTCATACAGGAAAATAAAAATATATAGGTTTAGAAGGTTTAGATAAGCTTTACGCGTTTTTACCTTCTTTTTTATTTCTTATTGTTATATCAATATTAACATATTTAACAAATTACTTTTTTCAAAGGTAGATTTTTCAATTTTTTTTAAAAACCCATATCACAGCGGAAAATATGTATTAGTGATGAAACACGTTTTCAAATTTATGATTTATTATATCAAAAACTGCAATAAATATAATCTTATATTATTTTTTTCTCAACGGGTTAATTTATTATTCAACTTTTATTCTACTTTTTGAATAAAGATTGCAACATTACAACTTTCATTTTACACATTCAAAAACCAAATTTTCGATTATTAATAGAAAATATTTAGAGCAATTTCAACCTATATTATTTGTATGAAACGATTTCTTCGTTGTTAGTTTCATATTATGAGTGTATAAACAATATTACAGTCTACTTTTTTACTTCCTTATCTTAAAAATTATCCGTATGATAAATTATGATGATGTGAATTTTTATTAGTAAAATCTCAACTCAAAACCACACCTATATGCTTATTTTCCGCCACATAAGTATATCACGCAATTATATCTCAGCCATCAGATCACAATATGCTTCATCGTGGCATCCATCACTTTTTCATAAGGGATAAAACTGATAAACAATGAACTACATTATGATCATAAATGATGAACGAAAGATTATATTTTTTTGCTAAAAACAAATTAAATTAAATCTGAAATAAAAAATCAACTAAAATCAATTTGAATTCTCGCGGTTTTTTTCTTTTGGGCCAATCAGATCGCGAATAAAATGCTTCAATATGACTTCCATCACTTTTTTATAAGGGGAATATCCAGTTTGATGGTTTAATCAAATTAAAACTGAAAATCAGTTTCATCTAATACGGCGCAGTACATTTCTCAAAATAATTTTCCAAATTTTCACTTTTAACAAATGACATAACTATAATTTTCCAATTGTTCAGCGATAACTATGTCTAGGTACTGTTTACATTTATCAATTTAATTTAAAAAATGTTTTGAATAATTTACTAAAGCAGATGAGCTGACAGCCTTCATTGTTGATGATGTTTATTCGAATTTAAATTTTATAACAATGCAAATGTAATTAATTTCGAGTGGGCCAGACTTAATTTATAGAATTCTGCAATCGAATGATTGAGAGCATACCCTACAAACATGCAACGAAAACGCTATTTAATCAGTCGAAAATATTTTCTCGAATTAATCAAATTAAAACACTTTGTTCAAGAATTTGCTCATATATGACATATAAATAAAAGAGAATTTCATAACACGAACGAACTAAGACAATTATTTATACAAAATTATTTTCCCAAATGTTAAAAATAGTCTTTTTTTTCTCACGAGATTCGTACTGTGGAACAAAGTTGCGATGTTTAAAAAATAGGAATTATTTTCTAGAACTCACTTTGTCGATAGCGTTCTCGCCGTCCATTAGCACATTATCTTCATTACTAATGCTGATACCACAACTCTCCATTTCTTGCGGTATAATACTATTGGAACATTCGATTTTATCTATGCTAACAGAACTAGATTTCAATTTTCCTTCAGTCATTTGCGGCAATTTTACCGGATAATCTCTAATTACTTTGTTAATAAAAAACTCACTTTCATTCTCGTGATTTATTTCATGTTAAATTTTTTTATATTTATTGGTTGAATGAAACAGTATATATATATATATATATATATATATATAATTCTAAAAAAACTAATTAATAACCACATTAACTTACCGCTTTAACCACATTTCTTTTTGGTCGAGAATTTTCCTTGAGAGTTACCTTTTCTCGAGTACAAACGTATTTTGTGCCATTAATGATAGTGACATCATCTGCATTCAAATCTTCTCGATAAAAATGCAATTCACATACTCTATATGTATCGTTCAGCTGCATCCGTAATTCATCCGACAAAATTTTTCGAAACTATAAATTCTATAAAAAATTACATTACCGATAAGCGATGGTACCTATTTATTATAAATAACTTAACTATTATTAAATAAGGATTATAGGTTATAATTTCTTAATTACGAGCGCAGGTAAATATTGCTTTAAATGCAGACTTGATTTATAATTATACGATTAATTTTCTTTTACCTTTGGTACACTGAACAAGCTGCATTTTCGAATCCGATCGATCCGTTCTCGTCTTAGATCCCTTTTGTATCCTGGCATAACACAAACTTTACCCGTAAGTATTAAATGAGTAAAGTTTATATAAAGATATATTTATAAATATCTCGAATATAATAAATAGCTACTGTCACCAAGAAATATTCAACTGAAAATTTAGCTGACGAAAACGATCCCCTGTTCTTTTTTAATATAAAAGGGAGCCAGCTCTTAGAGCGCCGCCATATTGGTAAGCATTGAATATCGTTGGTCGAGAGAGCGTAAGCGCGATGTTATTGGTGGAGAGTCGAGTACGGCGGAGAATTCGAATATGTGGAAGCAGGAAAGGTGATCGAGTTAGGGTTGCGAGAATAGCCCCTGGTTTTTTTTTTCAAGGGAAAAATTGTTGTTAGCAAAAAAGGGAAAACCGCGTTAATTATAATGAACAATATGATACACGGTCCTTGTGGAGAGTGGTGTATTATTGATGAGAAATATTCGAAAAAGTACCCTAAACAATTTCAAGAAGAAACAATAATTGATGATGGAAACGGTTGCGTTTCTTATCGCCGAAAAGATACTGGACAAACATTTACGTCCTAATGGTTATGAAGTAGATAATCGTCATGTAGTGCCTTATACTCCAGTGTTATCTTTGAAGCTTAATAATTGTCATATTAACGTAGAAGTTTGCTTAAGTATGAAATCCATTAAATATTTACATAAATATTTTTACAAAGGACATGATGCAGCATCTGTAATTGTAACTAATTCTAATGAACTTATTATTGATCACGATGAAATTATTCAATATTTAAATGCACGATATATAAGACCAGCAGAATCCATTTGGCGGATTTTGTTTCGACCAATACACGATATTTCAAAACATAACAATTCGCACGGAACCTATTGATATTGACGAGATAAATAATGCAATTGATTCGCAAATATCAATGTTAATAGATTATTTTGATTTGAATATACGAGATCCTAATGCGCATCAATATTATTACTCTGAAATTCCAGAAAAACATATTTTTAAGCAAATTCAAGTTGATGGACGGAAAGTAAGAAAGTGGGTTAAAAAAATCGATATTCCATGCATTGGACGTATGTACACAGTTAATCCAAGTCAATTTGAATTATTATCATTTGAGAATTTTATTGCTTCGAATAAAAGGTGCTAAAAGCTTTAAAAATATAAGAATAGTGAACGGAGTGAAATTACATGAATTTTTCTTTTCAGCTTGCTAATGCACTTCTAGTATAATAAATAATCAATTTATGACTTGTTTCGACTGTATATTAGTATTAAATAACTACAATAATAATAATAATAATACAATAACAAGCCTTGCTGGCGTAGCGTTGCTGCATTACCAACGCGCATTCTTTAGATAGATTCAATTATTTCCAACAGATGGCTTAAGGGTTTCTATTAACTGGCGCAAAAAGATGAAATCAGTAAAAACAATTGTGTATAATTTCCGCGTTGGAGTGGTGACATACTCATGTAGCTTAAATTTGTAATATGAATCTACGAGTACGGGTCAAGGGCGTTTGTCAAAGGCGTTTTCTTTTTTATAAAAAAATAAGACGTTCAATAGAGCCAACCGATATGATTTTTTTGATAGTATAGAGTTTAAACAGAATAACCCGTCAAGATACGGAAAGAAACGTGATAATGTTTTTTATTAACACAAGATTTAAAAAACAACTAGTTCTAGTAAGCACCGCGGACTCATACTGTCGTCAGTTTTGTCGCTGCTTAACTCCTCTGCCACCTTCCTTTTCTCACCACTTTGGAAGGTATGAATTTTACATTGCTATCTCTGATAGAGAGGTAAGAGAAGAAAGGATCAATCGTCCGCCGAGATGAAGTGAGAGAAAGTGTAGAAAAAGAGTGCATTACTTGTATGCTTTGTTTTTTACATCTTGACAGCATTTTTTGCCGATTTAAAAACTGGAGGTTCTGCTATATTTCATATGATTTAAAAATTTTTTTTTGTGTTCGCGATTACCACAATTACCTCTAAAAGTTACACAATTTTCGGTACTATTAAAATGTATTTCTTCCAAAAATTGTTTTAGGAAACAATTATATAGAACATTCTTATGACATATAAGCAACATATAAGTAGATAGGTTTATAACAAATTAATGAATAAAATCCTTTAAGTTATATTTCAATTTGTACCGGAATATAAAGATGTTATACAAATGATTATGTTGCAAGACTGTATTTTTGAGAAATATTAAAAAATGATTAATTTCTTTAAAATCTCCCAAACCAAAAAGTTCTAAAACGAATAAAATTGCATGTCTTAATGGTACAGAAATATTGAATTTTCAAAAAATGACTTCACTCATTTATTTTAACACTTAATATTTATTATTATTATTATGAAAAACAATATAATAACATCATTTTATTATTCATACATTACAATAATTAGTATTTAGATATAATTGTGTGTTTTACTATTTTAGTACCAAACTAATATTATAAATACATGCGCAGCTAAAACATTGCTAAAAAAGTAATGACTTTAAAATCCGTAGTTACATATTTATTTTCACCTCAACAATAATGTATAGTTTATTAGTCGAAAATGAATTTAGATTACCGTATTATTTCCTTTTTTTCTCGTGGATTATAATTAATTTTTTCGACACTCTATGCGTGAGGACTCGACTTTACTTGAGAAATCGATACTTAAATTCTCGTCCAAAACACGTTGTATCGAAAAATAAAGTTAGATACGTATGCAAAAAAGTGATTTTACCCTCACGTGGCCTCCTAACCATCGCTTGATTCAGGTGCAAATATCTACATGAGGCTGAAAATACTTTCTCAGACTAGTATCAGAAATGTATTAAATTTTACAATTTTTGACCTTGCCTTATTTTCAAAATGTTTCTTTTTTTGATATATATACATATTAAAATAGATATACAATCGTCTATAAAGGAATGAAAAATTAAGATTGCAATTACATTCTTCTCTGTTAATAAATTTCGAGTTATTTTTACATTCACTATTGACAATAATTTTAAATAAAAATACTTCAATAAAACATCTTTTCACCTTTATGAATTTCACTTTAATAAAATATCTAATGTAGTAGTATATGAAAAGCTCGCGAAAAAAATTAAATTTTATCTACAATGTGAATAGATTGAAAAGTTGATTGTTCCTGTGTCATTAATACACTTGCTTTATTAATGCTTATCACGTAATAAAATCTTGTTTATAATAAATTTTTATTATACAATGTATTTTTATCATACAACTGATTAATTTTAAAAGATAAAATATGTTACTTTCTATATTAAAATATTACATTATAAAAGCAATGAAAGTAAATAATTAAAAAGAATTTGACGTATTTTGAATCCGTAAACTATTAATAGCTTATAGTGTAAGCTCCTTATTATTCACGATTATATTTTAATAACCACTTTGTTGATCTAGAAATCAAAACTAAACCGTAAAATATTTTTCCAATCAATTACTTTCAATAATCATCATTAACATCTTTCTGAAGGATTTATTACACAGAACTATGAAAAAATGGTAATGAATTCATCTAATTAGGGATAATGAATCCTCTTATTCGAACCAATAAAATGACTGTAATTCAATGACAAATAAAAATTCATCTTGTATCTCCAAAATAACTTTCATTAGCAACTTTTTATTCCTTTGTCACTTTTTTTCAACGTTCATAATACCATCGGCAAAATATTATATATATATATATATAATCAAGTTACACTTAGTCAACTACATAATGTGAAAACGGTACAATAAAAATTAACTTGACTGAAACATTATGACCTACTTCATGTTACTATTAATGCTTTGAAATTAACATCCCTTTCTATAAAAAAAAACGTCAAATAATTAAACATCACTTACACAAAAGCATACATCTCTTAGATCAGTCACACCAGTTACATAAGTTGAAATCTAAATTATCTTTGTATTTCATTGTTTGAACCGTTCCATTTTTTTCAAATTCAAGATGATCTGAATCTTTTAGGATATGAAAATGAACCCATACCTAAAATAAAAAAGAATTAAATACTATGTTGATTTCACTCTATCCTATTTACCAACCAGAAATGTGTTCCATTGTTTTTCTCCTGATTTCTTCTCTCCTATGTAGTTCGAATATTACTTCATCTTTGAAACTTACACCACAATCAGAGCACATTCGATTTGTATGTTTATATTTGGTGTGAGTATCTAGCCCTTTCTGTGTATAGGTTTTGAAAGTACATTTTTCAAATAAACAAGAAAAGTTTTGTTTACATAATTCTTTAATGTGTTTGTATGCCAAATCTTGCCTATTAAAAAGATTAAAGCACCTCAAACATTGATAATTCAAAATTATGTTACACTTTTCACACTTTTCTCTAGTTGTATTAAAAGCTGCATTTTTCGGTCTTTGAAAGCACTGCTTACAGTACAAACTTATTAATTTTTTCAGTTCTGAAATAAAAATTTGTTATGTTAATATTTATTAACCATAAAATTAATTAAATTCTATTTATTTATGGAAAAATATACTCACGTATCGCAGTGTCAGACCGACCCTTGCTACAATCTACGGTGTGATGCTTTTTCATTGCTGCAAATCCTTCTACATTAGTAAAACATTCCATACATTTATAAATTGTATGTTTTGTTTGAATATGAGTGACAAGAAGACTTTTCTTTGAGGCATTAAAATTACATAAAGGACATTCAAACACCATTCGATTTGAACAGTTAAACTTTACATGATGAAGAATTCTATCATAATTTCCATACAATCTTTCACAACTGATGCATCGGTAATCATATTTTAGATTACATTTTCTACACCATGGTCTATAACGAGCAAACTTTTTTTTTGCTTCATCACCACATTCTAAACATAAATAATCTATCAAATTTCGCCACTCCTCTGTAAACATCAAGTTGATTTAATTTATTACAAAATTATTATATTTTAAATAAGTATCTGTATAATTAAAGTTGATCAAAATACTAACTTGTCTCTTTAGGTGGTTTACCATTTACATTTTTCACTAAAATTTGAGGATTGTATTGAAAAATTATGAACTTTTCATTTTCATCCACTGGCTCTAAAAGAAGATTGATTACTTTTTCAATTATTATACAATTATATATCAGTAATTTTGGAAAATTTATTATTAATCTAAATTGAGATATTTACATATTTTATTATGCATAATTCAAAATACAAATAAAAATCTAACTTAAATTTACCTCTTGATGCCAATTCCAATTGAATAGGATAAATGTTATCTTTTTTTACAGTACAATGCTCTAATACATGTTCTCTCAAAGAATCATTATCTTCAAATAACGTATTACAATTTGAACACTGTTGATTTAAATGTTTCTTTATAATATGATTTTCAAGCTTTGTTTTTGTCTCACTCTTAAATGTGCAATCTGCACAGTAAAATTTTTCATTGTTTGTACGATAAGGACATACTAATTTTACATGGTAGCGAACATTTTTCAATAATTTATAGCCAATACGACATAGAGTGCACCTGTACAACATTGGTAATTGACATTCTCGACAAACTAATTTTACTAAATTATCATAAACCACTTTCCGACATATTTTTTGACATTTTTTGCACAATAATTCAATGTACATGTCATCATCACAATTAAGCTTAACATCAAATTTAGGTTGCCAATGTGATGTTAAAATGTGGCTGTTGAGAATTTTCTTATTTTTAGTAGAAAATTCACACTTATAACAAAACAATTCTTCTTTTTTAGTTTTAGATACTGTACTTGAACCATTCACAGATAATATATCAGATTGATGATTGTACTTAATAATATGATCATTGAATAATTTTTTTTCAGTAGTTTTAAAGTTGCATTTATAACAAAAAAATTTCTCTTCTTCTTTTATATCTATTTCTTTCATTACATTTGTGGAAATATTAAATTTTTTTATACTTTTTAGCAGTTTGTATCTTTTATGACACATTTGACATTGTAATTTTAACTGACTATTACACTCAGAACATTGCTTTACTTCATTTATATGAAGCAACATTTTATCACATTTACTACAGTAATATTCAATATTTTGCATACAATCTGAAAAAAAATATATTGTCAAAATTTCAAAATAATTTAGAGTAAATGAACCAATAAGCAGTATTACTTTTAAATGTCATAATGTAAAAAATATATCAAATATTAAATTAATCTAAAAAATTTTAATTCTTACCGCAATGTTCTTTTTTGATATTCAAAGTTTTGTTACTGAAACCTGTAATATAACAATATTTATCTACTTTTATATTTTATGAATGAAAATTTGAATCAGACCATGATTTACATACCTAAATATTTTTTTCCAACTTCAGCATTTTTAGTAAATGGAAGTATTTTAACCACTTCTGCATGGTTAGTGGAAGAATCATTTATATTTATCACTTTTTGTACTCCTAGATTCATATAAATAAAACAATCAATATGATTAACTAGATAATTATTTTCATAGAATTTGATAAATATGAACCTGAAGACGTTGAATGATGTAGTATAGTATTCAAACCATTATCATTGATTTCTTTTTTAATGATGATTTCATTAATATTTATTGTACTCCCTGAGAAGAAATTATTTACATAATCAATATATATACAAAACTAATAATATTATTACAAATTTTTTAATAAGCAAAAAAGTTAACTTAAATATCACATACCTAAATCACTTTCAAAATCATCAACTACTTCCTGCTTTATTTGAACATTTTCATCAATTTCCAGTGGATCTATTAAAACAAAAACAAGTATTAAAATTATATTAGTAAACTTATTTAATAAGAAAAATATTATATCAAAAGTGATATAAAATTGTAATGTATATTTTTAGATGTCTCAATACCTTTTTCTTCTTCCAAAGCCTTTGATAATTTGATATCAGTTGAAAACATCGTACTTAATTTTTTCCCTTTCTCTATAAAGCAAATCAAGTAGGAATGATAATGAAGAATCAGTAATAACATTGAATGTACAAATCTAAATAAGTAAATGTTTATAAGTATTAAATTGTAAGTTGAAGAATAATTATTTTAATATGTTAAATTAAGAAAAAAATGTATTTTGTGCTAAATGATTTGTTTTAAAAGTAATCTATTTTGTTGTTTACTCTTTAATTACGGTATAACCTCTATTGCTCTTCAATCATAGGTTAGGTTCTGATAGTTTTATAACACATAACTATTCCAATTCTATTTGCTATATCTGCCAATCACTCCAACTCTAAATATATTTACATGCCATGTTTTCACAATATTCAACATTTGTCTTTACATACATTAAGAAATTTATATTTTTCTATGAAACACTTGCCAGATACTTGCTATAAAAAGCTACGCGTCGATGTTTGCTTTTTAAAATGATCTACCTTATCAAATGATGAATACATGTTTTACGTAAATACCTAACTTATCAACTATAAATTTCGTAGTAAAAGATATATTTACCTCATACGTAGATATATAAAACCTTGGAACTATTTTGCGCATGCACATTTTAAATACTTTGGACGAAAATCACGTTATATATTAATGCATGTAAAACTGCTATTCACCTATATTTGATTAAATATTTGTTAATGATTCTGATAGCAATAGATTTGAAGTTGTTCATTGTGAACACATTTTAAGAATAAAACATACATATAGTCAAATGAAAATGGTAGACATTTCATATAACCTACAACTGATTCGCGATAAAATAATAGCTGCATCTGCAAAAAGAACTGTGGTAATTAATTAATATTTATGTATTGAAATTTTATACATTAGTCAAATCAATTGCCTTGTCATTCTTTCCTTATAAAATATAAAACTTATTATGTTTTTAAAACAGTTCTAAAATGATTTTCATTTATTCAAGGAGTACAAATATTTCGAACCCCAACTTGTTGCAGTTGGAAAATTTCATTCAAGTGAAGCAATAGTGAAAGCTTACGAGGCTGGACAAAGAAACTTTGGGGAAAATTATGTTAATGAATTGTCAGATAAAGCCAACAGTATTGAAATACTAGAGAAATGCAAGGAAATACAATGGCATTTTATTGGTCACTTACAAAAAAGCAATGTCAACAAATTATTGAAAGTACCTAATCTTCATATGATTGAAACAGTTGATTCAGAAAAAATTGCAACAGCCATCGATAGCTCCTGGCCAAAATTTAGATACAATGATTCCAGGTTGAAAATAATGGTTCAAATTAATACTAGCAAAGAAGAGGGTAAAACGATTGTTTTATAGAGTTGAATTTAGAATTCAAAATATTACATAAGTTGATATGCATGTTCATCATATGTGTAACAATGTTCTTTTAGCCAAAAGTGGATGTGAAATTGAAAATGCAACATCATTAGTGAAATACATCTTAGAAAAATGTCCTAACTTAGAATTTTTGGGATTAATGACCATTGGTCAGTATGGATACGATATATCCAAAGGACCAAATCCAGATTTCTTAAAATTAAATGAATGTAAAGCAAAAGTTTGTCAAGAGTTACAGCTTAATACTAAGACTGTTCAGTTGTCAATGGGAATGTCAACAGACTATGAACATGCTGTATGTTAAAATATATTTTATCAGCTAATTACAGTAATATGACCATACATGCAGCATTTTCAATGTTGCATTGAATGACATTTTGAAAATTTTTTGTAATGTATTTTATGATTTACAGATTGAGTTGGGTAGTGCATGGGTAAGAGTAGGAACTGCTATATTTGGCGAAAGACCACAAAAGGCATAGACAAAATCAAAGGTATAAAAAAATACAATAAATTGTTACAAAATAAATTATTACTAAGGAAATGAAACAAATGGTGTTAATCCTGCATAAGAAGCATTTAGTTGATTTGCTATGGATAATATCATTCCCTAGATAATTGTAAAACGTTGAAAAACAAATATGTGTTTCAACTACTGTTTTATTGTTTATGTATAAATTGTTTTGTGAAATATATTTTTGTTACAAGATAAACCATTTTATTAATCAAAATTATTTGCAAAAACCAATATTTTAATAAATTATAAATTGACAGACAAATGTCACTGACAATTTTACAAGATCTTTTATATGAATAATTTTGAACTTTTGAACTTAAAATTTGTAATTGAAATCTAATCTTTCCTTCTACAAGAAACTACATTGTTATAAGTTTCAAAATTTAACGACTATTTATAACTATTTACATCAATAGCATCTAAATGGTATTATTATACATTAAAAACTAATAAAAAATAAGGACATAGAAATGAAATTTTGAAAGATCTATGAAATAACTTAAATTCACATTAAGACAGTCAGATCATTAAACTCTTGTCACTAGGGAGATGAGCTGCTGCAAATATGAAACTAGCACATAATTTAAAGCTTGACATCTCTGGGCAGTTGACCAAATATTTCAAATCAAGAAATGTTTCTCGGTCTCGAAGTAGGAGAGACCTCGTTCCGACTTCTGCCGCTTCAAACAGATAATTTTAGTTACCGTTGCGCGTCATCAAATTTAAAATACTTATATTTCTTTTTTTTCATATTATTTTATTTTCTGTTTTCATGAACAATAATATTTTGATTCTTATATAATAATATTGAATGATGGTTGATCGACACTGCTGGGTCTTATTAATGAACAATACAGTAAATATAAATATAGGTTGACGATAATTGTGACGTGTAAAAATTAAAAATATTTATACGTTAATGAAAGTTTTCTAAAATTTATGATTTTGCTTTAAAAATAATTTCATAATAAAATAAATATATGTAGCACGTATAGCGTCGGAAATGGTTATTCTTTATGTGTATATATAAATGAATACAGATAATAAGATTTTAATATTGGTGAAACTTTATGTTGATCGATGACGCATAAACATGCCACATTTCTTTTCGTGAATTTCAATTTTTTTATGCTTTTTTAATTGGTTTGTGATAATAATTGATGAAAAGAATATTGAAAGAAAATATAATAATATTAGATATAGACCATTAGGTCTTTTTACGATATTATTTTCCAGTCGATAGGTCTATTATAAACTTAATACATTATACTAAAATATTAACTACATACATATACACATAATAAAAATGCTATAAAGCACAAGTTAGTATCGAATTTCGGATTTTCCAAAATTTTCATATCATTGCGGTATGGTTTCAGTCATTAATGTAAACTATAATGACCAACTCGAAAACGAGGCTGGTCATTATGGATTTGACCTTTGAAAAAACAAGCGATGCAGAAAATCTTTGAACAATGATTAGTTTATTCCAGTGAATGTAAAATCATCGGTACTCAAGAAATTAATGCGAATTTCTGCAAATGTTATTTGTTGACTAAACCTAAATTTTTATTATCCAAAGTTGAGAAACATTTGTTCTAAATGTTGTTATTTTTGTTTACTATTTATATTATAAAAATAATCAAGATATGACAGCTTATGAACTGATCGTTGTTATAAAAATATGAATAAGCAAAGAAGGCGAAGAAGACATGATATTTTCTCAAAATATTTTTATTATATGAACAGTAAAATTATAATGTGTTTTTTATTTAATGGATTATTCGAGGCAGGTGAGAAGTAATCCCTCGAAATTGGCATGCCGGTCACATTGAATTCACAATTATTCTCTCGGTTGCGGCGAGGATAAGAGTTCAAGACAATCGGTGATGGAGACATACCGAGCCTCGACTGTTGTCCCGCAGCAGCCCGCTTTTAAATGTACGATACATAATAAATAATAAATTCCTCCTCTAGAGGGAAAATGCAAGTGTATGTTACGAAAAATAGATAGATATTGAGCTCGGATGCTGCTTGCAGGTTCCCTGTGTGATGTGTGCAAATAGTGTGTGCTTGTAGGTGATTGCTGAAAAGACGCCTCTCAAGCCCATATGCCGCGCTGTCAGTTGTGTGCTTAGCTGTCGATCGAGGCGTGCCGCGCTGGCGATTACTAGAGCTAAAGAGCAGGTGGCGAGCCGTCTAATCGTCGTCGTCGTCGCCCTTGCCGGTGAGCATGTTGACCAGTGACTCGATGTCGATGAAGCCCTTGTCGTCGATGTAGAAGTGGTCGTACGCCTCGTTCACCTCCTTGGGGGTGAACTTCTCGCCGAAGGTCGTCAGCATTCGCCTCAGCCTGCGGCGTACACGAGCGATCAGTGATCGATCGAGATGGCAACGGAGCTCGGTCCCTCCAGAGTACCTACCTCTCGCCGTCTATCTTGCCCAGACCGTTGTCGAAGGTGTGGAAGGCCTTGGTCACGGTCTCGTCGTCGTCGGCACCGCCACCCTGCATACGGGAGGCGAACAGCTGCAGCAGCTGGGTGAAGTTGATGGGTCCCGGAGCCTCGCCGAGCATCTCGTCGAGCTCCTTGTCGGTGACCAGGCGGCCCACCTGGTCGAAGATGAAGCGCAAGTCCTCGCGACCGAGGATCCCGTCCTTGTCGTGGTCCATCAGCTGGAAGGCCTCCTTGAATTCCGCAACCTGCTTCTGGGTGAACATGGAGAACACGCTGGAGCCGGTACGCTTGGCTTTGCGGCTGCCACGGCTAGCTCTCGACGAGCCAGACGGCGATTTCGGCGTCTCCGACTTTGGTGGAGTTGGCTGCTTCTCCGGGGTGGGTTCTGCCTCCGGGGTCGGCGCGGCATCGTCCTTCTTTGCGTCTTCCTTCTTCTTGGGCTTCTTCTTCTTCTCCTTGTCTGCCTGTTTTTTTTCAATTTCACAGTTTCCCCATTATTCAAGCTTCAAGTAGTTATCGTCGCATTTCATCCTGCTTACAAATTTTCCTTTTCAGAAAATTATGTGTACTAATTTCATTGCCTCGCGCGTCTAATTTTCAAGAAGAGTGTTCACAAATTTCTACGTACGTATAGCAGTCCAAGCTTGTACTTTTACATAACGGATTATTTTCACGCTAGTAGATATATAGAGACTACAAATCTCTTTACATTGCAAACCTTTTCTTGATCGCGTTATTTAAATAATTGTCATAAAAATTAGATTGCATCTAGCCTGTTATAACTCGGTATTTGTTACAACTGGTTTATTTTTCATAAACCAAAGACTAAGCAAATTATTTTTATCTCGGTAAAATGACAATGTTATTATGGAAACACAGCCGCTATTGCGTATCTAAGTTTCTATCGGTTGAGAAAATTACTTCAAAATGAAAAAAACTAAACTTTTAACGAAAATCGAGAAAGCAATTCGTTCAGTATTTTTTTAGAGCTGTTCTAAATAGAACTCAAGCCGGGAGCTTGCGAAACGCTCTCAACTCAACGTCTGAAATGGAAACCGACATAATGTAATTGGAGCCAAATGTAAATAACATTCTATTATAAAAATAGCATTTCAGAACGAATAGAATAAATCATAAATAAAAAAAAATTGTTGTTTATTGATTAAGCTCTAAGATTCACGGACTTGAATTAAATGATATTGTCAAGGATTATTTCGAAGACTCTTATTTCGAATTGAATTTGTTAAAATGCACGTTTGCAAATAAAAATTGTGATAAAGTTTTTGATATCTCAATTGAGAAAATAAAATCCTTCTATACCATAAATTTTGTCCTATTTCAAAAATAAAGAAATCGATTGAAGAAAATGATGAAAATGTACAATAGAACATAAATTAGAAAGAACGTTTGTGCATTGCAATAGTTGAACAAACAATTAATCATCACTCTAGTCAACAGTTCAAGGACACTAAAAGAGCTTACGAAATATAGGCTTATTTCTATGGTATAAAAAACTCGACAATATTCATACGTGAGCTAGCTTGGTAAAAAAATCACAATGAAACGAAATAAAATGAAAAAGAAAGCAAGCAAATAGGCGTTGTATATATACAAACCATTACGTCTAGTATCTATAATGTACACACGCTACCGTATCCCCGAAAAAACTACGTTGTGAACAAAACGGCGCGCAGAATTCGAGTGTCGAGCGAGCTTACAGTGGCGATATGGTATAGAAAAGGGGGCGCGGGCGAAGCCGCGAGAAAAAAAAAACGAGTCGAAGAGAGAAAGAGAGAGAAGAAATGAAAAATTATCGGTCGTCTCTCCTTCCGTCATTCTCGTTCGCTCGCTCGCGTCTATTATTAGGTCCAATCTGCCCCCGACCTGCCAGGACGTATATAGACCGGTCGCGTGCTCCCGCGCACCTCCTTCTCCGTTTCGCTCGCTGATGCGCCCAGATTCTCGATTGTGCCTCTCGAGTTACCGCTGCGCCTTGATATTGCATAATCGACGAAAGCTCACCGCAGCTTTCGTGACGCCTTTGCTGGACGAGCGACCCATTTTTTACCATTTTTCACTGCTCCTTTAATTTCAGCTATATGAACCCGACGAATGCTTGTTCCATTGTGCTCACTAGATAGTGCTTTTCATTTTATAATTTTAAGAATTAAAAGTAAGCTATTATCTTTCGTTTCTGTTTTGATGGATTTTTTGTGTCATTACATAAGAAAAAAAGTTTCAACATTTTTATAATAAACATTTAAATGTACCGATTAAAAAACATGCGAAATAATAATTTTTTTGCGATTGGTGTTATTACTACAAAATACAATTTGTAGTACTTTTTTGTACAATTTTGTAAATACAATTGTAAATACAATTTTGTAGTAATATCGCAAAAAATACAAGTTTTCTAGAGACACAAGAATTTATAATTAACAGTAACGAACTTTGACTCACAATGAGTAAATTTGTAAAAACAAAATTGACACAAATAACGTTTTCGTATTGACGAACTCTAGGCGATTTATACTTGTGGGACAAATATCTTATTTTACTTAAAATAGCTACCGATTTGTAGCTAAAGCGCCAAGAAAATCACTCAGGCGTTTGGATGGACTATTGCCAAAAAAAGACACATGATATCACGCCTGTGAAATTATCTTTCAATTTGAGGGAATACTTCAATCGACACTCGCGAACACGATTGATGATAAATCCATTCACTATATAATTTTTAAATCGACATTCTTAGTGTCAACTTTCACATTCACTTCGTAGTTTGTGTCCATCCCTTACGGAAGAACAAAATTCACGTCACTTTTAACTTTTATTCACTCGATAGATATGTACAAATTATTCTTCTTATAATTCTTTAAAAAGGTAAAAATTGAAAGAAGAAGCCACTTTTTTGAAGTATTTGAATTACGTACTTGTAAACTGGCTTTACGAAACAAATGAAATAATATCCATTGAAGGATTGAAATGTTGAAGATACACTGAAATAAATTATAGGAATGCGAGTGAACTGCTAAAATAGTTACAAGAAAGTTGCTCCTTATCAGATAGTGTAGAAACAATGAATAAAATTTTGTAAGCAGGTATGAAAAGATGATCTTCCACCGTAGGCCAAGACAAACTTACCATGTCTACGGTTGGCTGTTGACGTACAAAAGAAAGCTATCGAGATGGTTACAAAGAACCAACTGCCCAAATCATAGAGTTGATCTTAACTAAGTAACTTTGGTGAAGCTGTGGAGCCCCACCACTAACTGCGAAGAGGCGGTCGGTCCGGGAAAATTCGTAAGCTCTTGTGAGTCAGAGCGAGACGACGTGATACGGAAAGAAAAGTGAGAGCGAGATGGTCGTAGGGTTGTATGGATATCCCGTGATTGGCCCGCCTCTACTGACCATATTTAGTGCGAGCTACCACCGAAATAGCGGACAGAGCTGATCTGCCCGAGGAGTCGCTCACAAAACTGGTACCTGCGACTGGAAGCACAGCCACATTGCAAGCTCCGTCGTACAGGGACGTCCATACGTCCACACGACTTAATTATATACCAGCTGGGTTTTCGCGTGGATTGAATGTCTTCAAGATATTGTTCCAACTAACTCTACAATTGTTTACTTATTGTTTAATGTATTTTACTTTTCAACTTGCTTTATTGTTTAACGTATTCGTACCGATTCAATGTTTTTGTAATTATTCCAGTGATAAACAAAATTGATCAATACATTGAATTAATGATCCTTCTAGAACCCTCTGGTTATAAGATTCAATTTCAAAACTGATCTTTTCTTGAGCGAAGAAACCTTTTTGTCACAAAGGGTATCTTCCTAATACGAGAATTATCATTTTTATAACGAGAGGATTAGTCAAGATGATTATTATGTTATTGTTAGTACAAGAAAATCACTTTTTCAGAGTAGTTTAATGTCAATTTAAAAAAAGATATCCATCTAAAGTTTTGTAAGATGATTTTCGCAAATGTAATTTGCAATATCGAACAATCAAAAAATCATTGTGATGTTATATTACTTGGTGAATGTATGAAATATTTTGGAAAAATTATTCCGATTTGCGACTATAAATTGGTGAATCAATATACACTCTTATATTTAACGACAAAAAAAAATGCCTTGAGGATAGATAATATTCCATTTTTAAAGCTTGTACCGAGGTTGCCCATGAGATCTCTGACATGGCATTCTTGCCAGGCAATCGTACACGTGGTTTTCATAAATAACTGGCCAACATTCGAACGGGTTAGCTTTTTTATTATAGATTCAATTCTTTAGATGAATGAAATTGTTGAAATTTGTCTATTCGACACTGTTTTATTTGATAAGTAAGATATTACTCGTTAATAATCATTAAAAAATAGGATATTGATAATAAAAGTGTAAAGGAATTATAAATAAATTAAATATGAAATATTAAGTGTTTTTTTCAGCAATGAGCTATTTTAAAGACTAAAAATATTGCAAGATTTCAAGTATGTTTGCATACTTTTTTTTTTTTTTTTTTTTTTTATTTAAGCAAGTTGAACCCATTCAGGGTTATTTTGCTGAGAAAAGATGTTATGTTTGCATACTGCATTAAGAAAACAAATGTTTCTTTGGTGATTTTATAGATACGGATAAATATAGTAATAAAAAAATTACAATTTCTAAGTTTGAAAAGAATATTATCTTGTTTATAATAGATAAAATGAAAAAATTTTTTAAATACCACGTTGCTTGATCTATTTATGGATTACATTTAACAATAAATAATTGAAATTGCTATATGAAAAGTTCGCTTTCGCTTGGTTTCGGATGTCCTCGATACAAAACTGTGATCTTGGCTTTTTTGAGCTATTTTATAGGAAATATTTAAGAGCGATGAATTAACCGCCATTATAAATAAAAAGAAATATTGAATTGTCAATGACTCAAATTGAAAGCCTCAACTAGAGTGATCGAAAGAATGAAGCTTGGACGTTCGAGTATTTTAAGATTTCTATGTTTACCAAAAGCTCTCGCATGCGTGCCTTCCTATACGCGTTCCGGATGAACAACCAAACGGCCCTCTATTGCGTCGATTTATTTTTATCTTTCACCTTCAGCAGCTCAATGCAGAATACCACTTTTGGAAAATTTTACAATATGGGCGCTTAAAAAAAGAATTTCCATCTGACTGTTTTCGGATATTTACCTATTTTCATCAAGAATTGACATTACGGTATTAAAACTGCAACTCATGCTATTATTTTAGGCATATTTCATTAAATAACGATAATTATTATAAATAAACGAAATAAATAATTATCCCTGCATTAAAGTTTATATAACATACAAATAAGTGCCCTTATGAAAAATGTACTTAAACATATAAGCTCTTTTCAAATTAGTTTTCATTAACAGTTATAAAAATTTATCATCAATATATTAAATTTGTAACTAAACAGGCAGATAAAAATGTTGCTTCATTAACGTAGAATATAAAATGTTTAAAATTTCAACTCGAGCAACTATCAAAGGTTTACAATAGTAATATTTACTCTAATAAATTTTACATAGTGAAAAGGCATATTATCATTAGCTTTGACTCGTTAAATTAAGTTTATAATTCATATTTAAATTTAAGCAAACATTCACATGTGTTAGAGCTTTCAAAGAAATCTAAGTCAAACAAGAATCGAGCGCTAAGAAAAGTGATCCACATGAAAAAGAAGTAGCCAATAATTATGTAGACGTACATATAACTGTTATATAATGTTCTTCTAGATTCAGCAAGGTTAGTTGAATTTGACGATGTGTAGTCGACACTCACTGACCTTCTGCAGGAAAGAAAACAATAAAAGAATTATTCAATTCTAATTCTTCACAATCGACAATTTTCTGAATTGGTTTTAATTAATTTTTATTAATGAATTGATGTAAATTTTATTCTTGCAGCAGTTAAAGTGGTTATTTTAAAATAGCTGCATTTAATATCATAAATATTAAATAAATTACTGAATATTCAGACAAAGCTTTACCTTTTACAATAACAATTCGTTGCTGAGCATCTCGACGGTGATTTTCTCTGATGGAATTTGCATGGTTCTCTAGGTTAATCCAATTCAGTTTTAACAATAATTAATCGTTTTACAAAAGTTTAAATTAGTTTTCTTTACCGTGGCATTTAAGTTAATTTCATATTCGTTGGAGATTTTCTTCGCATTTTAGATTATAGCAATAAAACTATGGTCGTTTGTCTTAAACATGACAGTCTAGTGGTTATGTATATATTAATAATAATACTGAGGTTATCCATATTAAGTAGAAACATTGAATATAAACATTAAAACAAAAATTTAGAAAAATTGGAATCGTCTCTGCATCGAAAAACTCAAAATGTAACATGCGTTAAACGAAAAGTAAATGAAAATTTAATGTACGCCAACTAGAACAGTTAAAGAAAGTAAAATTGACAAACATTTATTTAGTGTGAGTTCTACATAATGTCGAAAGCGCATTTTTCTTAAAAGATATCTGATTGTCAACTGTTTGATCTAGTATAGCGTTATCTTCATAAAGTAAGCCGACAAAGTAAAGGATTAAGAAGAGTGGCGAGCTAAGGAGACGAGCACATCAACGAGCACCTGCATCGCCCTTTCTCTCTCTCTCTCTCTCTCTCTCTCTCTCTCTCTCTCTCTCAATGTATAACACAAGAGCGAGGCCACTACAACGTTTCCGCTATTCGGCACCGGTGGAAGGGGTCATCGTTCTCCGATCTCCCACCACATCCGCCGACTAGTCGCCTTGTCCGAGAGACCGCTCATCCACCTTGCGTCGCGTGCTTGTCTGTTATCCGTTCGAGCCACTTGTCTTCGGTGACGATGTGATTTTTTTCATTGCAATGGCGTTTTGTAAGATGGACCGTGATCCTGAACTTTTGCCGATTTCGTAAGCTGTCCTTGATACCGGTGGAGGATCCTTGCAGCTGCTGGCGAACGTTCGTGGTAGAAATGTGGCGCTGGTGCCTAGTGATTTTGACGTGTGGTGAGTGCGTGCTGTGATTATGGAGGGAACTTTCACTTATGGCGCTAGAGTTCCTTGCGTTACTTGGCTTCCTTAAAACATTCCAAATATTTTTTACATAACTTAATTTTTATCGAAAGCATAGTTAAATAACAATTATCTTTATATGTACTTCCAAATTAAAAAAAAAAAAACTAATCTATTATCCAATTACTCTACATCTTAAAATATAATTTATTTCATTAAAATATATGAAATTAGAACACCAAGTGAAATTATTTTTTTTTATTTGAAAATACAATGCCCTACTTCTCACGATTATAACATCATTAATTGTTTGCATTAATGGCTGGGCTCTTTCTGTGGTTCCCACGATGTAACTTATAATGAGAACTCTGGTATTTAAATATAAAATGGTAAATGATGTATATTATGTACTTGCGCTATAATTTATAAACCCATGCCTGTACAGCGGCAACCGGAAATGCGGTTCGATTGGCAGCTTACATTTCATCTGGGGGACTTCACGGAGAAATCCGATTCGAGTCTACTGGCAACAATTCAGTCCGGGTAAGATTAGCCCTCAAGCCGACCCTTCAGTTTCCAGACCAACAATGGTCATGGTCACTCACCGAGTTCCCCGTTGATTATACCATCATTAATAATCGTTGCGATGAAAAATATCTTGGAATGAGGTATGAAAGAATTATAATACTTTCAACCATAATGGAATTTAATGTTATTATTGATCAATCTTTTTTGCAGTCTCATCGATTTGACAGAATTGATAGGGCCTTTAGAATTTCCTGGCAATGAAACCGGCTCCGTTGAAGTTTCTGGATTGAGTTTATCCGGCGAAAAGGGATTATATGGAAAAGGAATTTTATTGAAAGACAATCTCAGTAATCGAGTCATCTGTACTTCTATCACGGTAATAAGCTCTCCAACTACTATTCTATTTTAGGAAAATAAAATTTATGAGTCGATTGTCTTTAAATATCTAGGTGTTGGATCGAAATGCAGAAAAATTAGCAGAAGCGCGATTCCACGGAATCATATCGGGTTCTGTTTGGTTTCGCTGGTTAGGTGGTCAGGCGGGTGAAGACATTACCGACACGATTGTTCAATCGAGCCTTCAACACGCGGTCAACCTGAAATCTCAAGATACTTTCTTCACCGAGCATCACTGGAAGATTTACGTTACTGACATTTTTGACGCTGAAGGTATGAGTATTCTATAAGTTTTCGCGTTAATTTGCGACAGATTTTTCTAAAATCAAAATGAATTTAGTGTGGCTTATGAGATTAAAGATTGAACCTGACAAATTGAAAAAATTGTATAATAACTCGACCTTTGGTTTAGCTGAATGAATTTTAAGGATACTTGATAATTTAATGTGTTAAATACGAATCATATAGAACGTTTTTTAGTTAATACTGATATTCGATTGAACAGCTTTATAGTATAAAAAGAATTAGCTGTGAATGATTTGAAATATGAATGGAGAAATTTTTATAGATAATTCTAATGTTTATTTTAGAACGAACATCTTGCAACATTCTGCAGACAGTCTTTGATCCTAATAATTCAGGACCGGGAAAATCTATTGGTGATGTCGATTTGCGTCTTGGAAAAATGCGCATCGCTTCACACAACAGCAAGTTTTACAAAAGTTCCTATCGTGATCCTGAGCTTTCACTTCTCTCAACCGATCTACTAGGACACCGTGTCCTTTATCTAGTCATTTTTCATCCAACGCACGAAGACTTGTTCCTCGCTTGCGCCAAAATCAAACTTCACAGACCTATTTCAGCCAAGTAAGTCAATTTCTATTTTCTATTTTCATTATTATTCTTTTTTCATTCTTTGAAACTCAGAAACTATAATTAATTTCAATTTCCAGAGCAATCGTGAACTCTCGAGGTATCAAAGGCGAAGTAACACTATCACAAGAAACTCCATTCCATCCCAGTTGGGTCAACGTTTCACTGTCACCAATAAACGATCTCGAAACAAGATTACGGTACGAAACAAAAGTGACATCGTATAAGATACATGAGCTTCCAAAAAAACCTGAGAATTTTTTGCAAGACACTTTAGAACCATGTATTACGACCAAAGATATGTATAATCCTCTAAAGATCGAAGAAAGAGATGTCCCACCACCCGGTAACACCCCTTTATTTTATTTTACTTGAAAACTTGATTACCTATTTGAACATTTGTGTAATATTTTTGAGTGGTTTATAGGGCTTGGTACTCAAGATCAATACGCTATTGGTGATTTATCTGGCAAACTACAAGGGCGGAAAGAAGGATCCAATCACTTGGATATATTGCCAGGTAGCGCAAAGCTCAGTGGGCTCTACTGGGATACCTATCTTCCACTTTCTGGCATCCATAGCGTTGTCCATAGATCCCTTGTCGTTCAAAAGTATGTGACCTATTTTATTTTAAATTAACAAAAAACGATATATCGTAACACTATACACCTATACGTTCGTTTTAGGTATAATGAAACAGACTCTAAAAGCGTGATACCTTGGGTATGTGGAACTTTTACAGCACAGTTACCTCGCAATGCTGGTAAAATGCCAATGATTACTGCTCAAGTGATTTTCCGTTATCCTATTGTGGGTAAAATTATTTTTCGACAACCGAGAGATGAACCCGAGATGGATACCACCATTATTGTAGAATATTTAGTACATTCCGATGGCAGTGCATTAAACGATTCTGTCGATCACAGGTGCGCAGTTATTCATAATAATATACGAGTCACGTATCAGAACAATGAAAATTTAAATTCATTCGTGCACGTTACATTATCGTGCTTGGGTTGTATGGCATTGTTTGCTGATAAGCATAAAAGTATTAATAAAAAAATCTTGTTAAATACCAAATTCATGTTACAATCTTGCAGATGGATGATCCATGATAAACGTCCAGGGAAAGACTATTACAATTGGACAGCGAGATGCGTCAGTGCAGGAGCTCCATTCAATCCTTATAAGGTTTGTTTATAACTACAATTTACATGAATTCTGATGGATAAAAATAAATTGTTAAAGGTTAAACATCAATTTTTCAATAAAAATTTCTTAAGATTGAATGGGATCCAGATCATCCAAAGTATTGTTCCGATCATTCTATGACCTTTTGTCGAATGGGTGATTTGGGCCGTCACGGTACTCTGAACATTGCTGGACGAAAAGCTGATGCATTAAGACTTACCCGAAAACTTTATACTGATCCTTTACTTGCACTATCTGGTCCACACAGTATTTTTGGTCATAGTCTCGTTATCTACGATGATTATGGACCCAAAGCCAGAGGAGAACGTCTAGCGTGTTCTCTGTAAGTTCTACATTAATTTAATAAAAAGTGTAGTAAATCATAAAATGATATTGGTTGATTAATATTTCAACGTTTTCCATACATTAAATAGAATCAGCGGGATGTGGAGAAGGAAAGCAGTGGCGAAAGATTGGTTTAGTAATGGTGAAGAGGTATCGATAGACGGCAAGTTGGAATTTATCCAAGAAAGTCCCTACGATGTTACCGACTTCGAAGTTAATTTAGATGGCTTAAATAGTAAAATGAGTGGATATCATATTCATATGGTAATTGGTTTTACTTTGTTTAATAGTCATCTTAATACACGTACAATTTTTTATCCTGTACAGATCCGTTTCAATTAGATATATGTGATTTCTAATGATTCTTTTGTGTTATTAGGCGAACTCAAGTCATGATACAAGATGATTTTGTCATTATGACCTATTATCATAAATCTATTACTTTTTCAAAAAAATTATAAAAAATATTAACATGCTCAATATCTTTATTAATGTCATGTCATCTAGTTACGACATATACATATAATATGGGCGCAACTTTTTCATATAAGACTTTGTAAATTTATCTATCACGTCTTACGTGAAGTTTCTGTTTTAACTACCCATAATGAAAGATATTCTTACTTATCGAATCAATTAAAATTCTTATAAATATCTAATTGAATCTGATTACTTTCTATACAATGCAAATTACCATTGAAGACCCCAGTGGAAATAGATTGGGAGTTTCCATGCGAAGCAAGCACCCTCTATGGACATTGGAATCCTATGCAAGTAAATGCTAGTGCAGCTCCACCTCCAGCAGCCGGTACTAGCGATCAGTACGAGATGGGCGACCTTAGTGGCAAATTTGGTACGTTAGACGGACGTCGTCGTTATGCGGCTGCCTTTAACGATACTCATTTACCGCTATTTGGACCGAGAAGTATACTTGGACGCAGTATCGTAGTACACAAAAAGGAAAAAAACGCAAGGTGCAATACCGTTTCACAGATGATATTTTATAGCTTCCTTCAAGAAAAAATTTTAATTTGCAATTATGTGTTTGTTAAACAGATGGGCTTGTACAACAATAGAACGAGGTTATGCCCCGTCAGAAGCTCGAGAATTAAGAGCTATTGCTTCTTTTCATCATCCCCAAGGTTACGCATATGGATACATCAGGATGGTATTGTGATTTTTTTTTTTCAATCTAATATTGAATTGAAAAACTTTGGTTACATTAATTGTTTTTTTTTATATTTGCAGACACAATTAATTTATAATGATGGTAGCCAGAGTGATACTATAATCGAAGTGAATTTGAGGCATCCTGGCAAACATGATCGTAACGTGGTACGTAATGCTTGGATCGTCATTTCATCAATTTTGTATTTTATTTATCAATGATAATTCTTTTTCCTTCAGACAAGAAATCACAATTGGGCGATTTACGTAAATCCAGTGGGAGTTGATGCTTCAATTAAACCAATACTTACAAGGTGCGTTGCTGGCGGCTACAGGTGGAATCCTTACTTCACACAATTGGCTGATCCATTGAATGTAAGTATCGTTCAAAATATTTTTGATTTTATTCTTATATAAAATTATCATTATTAATCTACTTGTAGTAAACTTGTGCGACTAAAGCTATAATTTGAAAAAAATACTATATAAAATTTCTCGATGCAAAATAAAAAACTTGAAAACTGAGGAATTTCTTTGCAGTCAGTAAGAAACTTTCAATCTAATTTTCCATGACTACGATTGATATTTTTTTATATGCCTAAAGACTTAAATATTGTAAAGAGGGAAAGGCCTGTCTTTACCATCTTAAAACATAAACATTTATTAACGGACTCATTCAAAGGTTATAAGTAAATATTTGACATTTTTAAAAACATACCTGACCGTACGTTTCCATTGATAAAATAAATAATTTTCCACCGGTAACTTCAGATGGTAGAACAGTTCGTGTCATCATGATGTATATTAATTTGGATGATTTTTTAGTTAAATAATACCACTGGAATTCATAACTACACACACACACACATTTATTTATTATTGCTCATTAAAAAATGTATTGACGTACCAAGTATCAAATATAGACGAACTGCAATCAATAATCATCTGTCCATGAGTAAAAATCACCCAGAAATGGAGCGATATTAAAATATACATCAGAGTGTATCTACTAAATTCCATTGGTCTGTTTAAGTGAACTGAGAGCTAAATAAAATGATATATCTCATTCATAATTAAATATTACTTGAACATTATAATTAAAAATTATACTAACTAAAAATGGACAGGCACCAAAAAGAATCATGTTCTGAAAAAGTATTCCGACCATACCAACGTTATTAGTATCTTCGATTAAATTAATCATCCTATAGTAAATATGTAAACAAAATCCAAAGATCCAAACATGTATCATGAGAAACTTAGGTAATTAGCTTAAAAAGTAATTAAGTCTTACTCAAAAGCTTCATTGTGCAGTATAATAGCCTCTGATATAACTGCGTTTACTTCATTATCGAGACTCGCAGACACATATTTTGATTTTTCATATACATCTAACGTGGCCGAACTTCGTTTTAATCGCATTCTGTAATATTGTAATAAATGTATTTTATTTAGTCTTTAATATTCTAGTTCTAAGAGGTGCTGCAAGTAAAGATTCATCAATTTTTTCTAATTTCCTATATATAGCTTTAATGAGTAAAAATTTCACAAGTTTTCCTAGTCGCACGTCCATTTCTAGCTTTACTTTTTCGTAAATAAGTAATTTGAAAAATGTTAATGACATAAAAGAATTTCTATTCACTATGGTTATTCTTTATATCCTTCATAATGTGATAGATTTTAAGAAGTTAAACCAATGTGAAACAGGTGTACCCAAATAAAAACAAAAATCACAACTTCACCTTAACGACGTCGCCGCTTCTTGTTTGCGGCCTCGTCAAGTTCTAATTGATTATAATTCCAAACATATAAATATAATTAGACAAAATTATACACAAGGAATAAAAATCATTAAAAAACATATGAAAAACAATGTAAAAACACTTACAATAACAACGATTCTATTCTAGAATTTAAAATTCTTATTAATTGAATAAAATTCTACATTGTCACGTATTAAAAATTAACAAAACTAAAACAATTATTCTGGACAAGTTAAGAAGTATGCTCACCATAGCAACGAAAGTTATTGAGACTAAGCAAAAAATAAAGAAGGCTTATCAAACATGTAAATTAAGGGGACCAGCCGGTGTTTCATAATAAAATTGAACGTTTTCTTTGTTGGAGTATTAAAGTCGTTCTAATAAAGATATCATGAGACATACATCTTAAAGGACTCGGTATGAGCTTTTATTTTCTCGCTTGTAAGTACCAAAAATTTATTTAGCGGTCCTAGAAAATTTCTTTAATTGAAATATCTTATTTTTTGAAAAAATTGATTTTTCTACACCTTTCTGATCGTTTACTTTTTCTAATAAATATAAAGTTATATATTATACATATGCTATATATATATATATATATATATATATATATATATATATATATATAACAAGAAACAGCAAAATATCGTTAAACTGAAATTCTGATTTTTGTTTTTATTTGGGTACATATCCGTTTCATATCGGTTTAAATTCAGTTTACTTTGCAGAATTAGTTACATAAGCTTCCTAAAACCTAACAAACAATCTTTAGAAGTACAAGATATCATTATTATATGCAACGATTCTTTTAAAAGTTCTATGAATTATGAATGTTGGCATTTAAATTTGAATGAAGATTTCAAGAAAGAAAATGATATCAGAATTAGCAAATCAAGTCTTTTCAAATAATCTAACTGCTATCACAATTTTATCTATTTGAATCTAATTACTAACTAAAAAAGATCTGTTTATATCTAATTGCTTAAGATTATTTTTTTATACTTACAATAATAGTAGGAAACTTACTTTATGATTGTGAACAAAGCGGCGATGTGCCGTATTTCCAATATATACGCTAGATCATATGGAATAATGACAACAAAAACTGAAGTCATGTAACATAAAATATGGAATATTATATAATTATAATATTTCTTATAATCCACAAAATACTCTACATGAACGGGTAGTATTTTCTCAAGTTCTGTGGTGTTAGGATTCAAAAAATAATCAAAACACATTATTTGTATCGGTAAAGTTAAGTAAACTCCTCCACATAAGGCTGTTGCAGCTGTAATATAAAAATATAAAATTATTCCCATTGTTTCATTCGGAAAAATAAGCGTGCTACTTTTGGTGTTAAGAAAGAAAACGGAATAAGTGAGCGTAGAAGTATTTTGCCGTGGTGTAACCTTTTGAAACATCGAAACAAGGATCCAAATACTTTATCCCATTCGTGTTCATGTATTATTATCTAATTAATAGTATCAGCAATAGAATGAATATGCTACGAAATTTAATTTCTTACCTAAATAAACAACTGCATAACGTAACCCACGATCACTAAAACTGATCAATACTTTTAATTCACTTTGATCAGTAATTTCTTTAAAATGTTGAACCATTTTTTCATAACAATTTTGTCTCTAAAATTCGTTGTATTAAAATATAACAAATCGTTGAAAGGGTGAAAAATGTTTTCCTATTGTTTCTGAATGTTGGAAAAAAATTCTAAAATTACACACATAAGTTTGATATAGACAAGCCATTATCAATTTCGTAAGTACAGAGGTTTTTATCATCATGGAAAGTCCGGTTTCAATTATAACTAAAGGATCTACCCCTTCTCTATTTATTATTGCGGCAATCTGAATATGAAAAGTACAAAATATCATAAAAGAAAGGACTCTTCAATTTTTTTCCACTAAAATATATTACCGACGTGATTGTAGATGTTACAAGGAAAAAGAAAAGAATGGAGCGCAGAGGGTAGTTGATCAGCTTGTGTTGATAAGGCCAAAACCCTGCACTTTTTTCAGTCATTGCCAAAATTTTTCCAGTGCGTGTTTGAAAAAAATCCATCTTCACGGTAGCTTCTTTTATAGATTTGACAATAATTTTTTCTATTAATATACAACTCTCTCTCTAATGTAAATATAGGGTTCAATAATTATACTCTACGCGCAATTGATACGTATTGTAATGATTCTCTATTCTATGACCGTCAAGCGTTCCATATTCCTATCTCTAGTTATAGTCTCGTACATATTAAATATTAAGCGTATCTCTATTATGATTTGGATCGACGTTTATAAATTAAGAATCACTTCATGGCTTTAAAAGTCAATAGCGCATTCATAATTAATTTGTACTTATTTATCTGTGCATTGAATAAGTTTATAGAACATTCATATACCAATCTGAAATCATTATATTAGTTATGCATATTTTATTACAACGAATTTGTATTTCGTACTATTCTTCAATATTGTAGATATTTTTCAAGATGAATTTTTCAAGCCATCTCATAATATTTATAGTTTTTGTATTTTAATTGACATAAAAATTTTAAATATTCGAAACTGATTATGGGGATTAGTTTACTTTATCTAAATTATTTATCTTCGTATGCAAAAGTTATAAAACAGTTCAGAAAAAGATTTATTAGAACTTATTATAATATAAAATCCATACCTTCTTGGACATTAGTCAAATGCAATACAGTATTAAAAAATAAAAAAATTAATTTATCATTTATAATCCACAAAAACGTAACCATTATGGAAATCGTTTCAAAATCTATATTAATAACTAACGATAGTTTTATTGTCATCTGTTCGTGATGATGGTTGGAACTTGCGGTAATGAAATATTGCTATCAGTAAATAATATAAGACTTGAAGCTTGCATTGACTCTTTAGTGCTCTTACTTCTTATGAGGTCACAAAAAATCGCGCCAAAGAATACCTTCTATGCGATCTAAATATTGTATAAGACAAAGCATTAATTATAACCTTGCAACATATGTTGAATCTAGTGTAAGCCTGTCTAGCTTCTGCAAATATATATTTCTTTTAAAAATTAATAAATTTAGACGTAATTAGTTTTTTTTAATTACATTAACCCTTACCGTCATGTAATTAACACAATAGTTTAATTTTCAATGTAATACACTACCTTTAGGTTTTTCGAAAACAAGGACAGTAATTACTTCAAAAACCTGAAAATTTCTAATGAAATAAAATAACTTCTATTTTTAATTTCCATGTGTTCTATTCGCGACCCGTAACGTAGTATATTAATTATATATCTAATGGATAGTTGACCATAAAAAGAAACAGTAGTATATAAATTACGTCGATGTGCGGAAGCTCTTTATAATATTGCAGCACGTCAATGAAGTGAAATAACTTCATCCGAAATTCACGATTTATCGATATTTTGTTATTTGATGATAACGGCCTTCGGTAACCCAACAAGTTGATAGTTAATATTTATTGCCGATATAATAACGAAGAAATCTAGTCGTGTCACGAATTTATGCACCTTACGCGTACACGACCAGATGATTTTGAAGTAAATAATAAAATTCGTGCTACTTAAAGAAATCTCACTTTATCGTGCAACACATTACTAATAATTTTTCAAGATGATTCCTGATGCCTATGATTCCATCAATTGATCATTTATTAATTGAAAATAGGTGAGCCGTAAGTATTCCTATTATAATATTGACATTATCAATATCGAAGAATTTGCAAGATTAGTACTGGCTGTTTAGTAACCGCATACCCATCTATAGATTATGACCAGTTATACTTAAAGAGCCTTAAGAGTGTGAAATGTTTAAATTTATTGAAAAATTAAAAAATATCTCGAACTGTTTAGCCAACGTGACGATACTACGTTCGTTATCTAACAACACAGAGATTTGTACTCGCACTTTCAGTAATTGTCATTCTAAGACAGGATCCTAGCTTGAAGTAAATTAACGATGGTAATACGTTTTGTAAGAACAAAATTACTGCCATTATCAATTACCAGTATATTGCAGTATTTTTTTAAACTTCTTATTTTATTCTTGATCCACGAATTCAGAGCAATAATTTTGTTATTAAATAATTATTCTATTGTCAATAAATATTGTTTTTCAGGAAGATCTATACAAACAGGAATGTGGCCCCGATTTGCCGTTACGTTGTGATGTTGGTGACGTTTCAGCACGCGTAGGACCAATTGACCTCGGTCTAGAACGTAAAATACTAGTAGATCCAAATTTTCCATTAGAAGGTACGGTTTCAGCTTTGGGGAAATCCATAATTATCTTGGAGAAAGACTTCGGAAGTAACAGATATGCCTGTGCCAATATTGAGCCAGATAATGACATTATTAAATATTCTAATATAGAAAAACCACCTCGCTTTGTTCCGTATGTACTTATTGAGATATCTATACAATCTTAAAGAACAAACATTATACTTCATAATATATTTTTCAGACGGCAATTTTTAGAAGACGTACGTCGAGTAATGGCGATACCAGAATGGATGTTATCAATCGATAATAGGAAAACAAAAATTCTGTATGATGGTAGCTGCATACAATTTTTAATACATTTCAAAGGTAGGAAGTGACGTCTATTAAATTTGGGTTGTTAATCAGTCATTCAATTTAATAATTGAAATAATTATTCTAGGTCCAATCGCTACTAAACTGGAACAAGACTTCAATAGATTAATATCTACGGGCAAACTCGAAGCACCAAGTTTAGTTATACACGGTTACGTGGACACAAAACGCAAGAGTACTATAAATTATAGACAATGCGGTTCTCGTCATCCGAGCGACAAAAGTAAATATTCAAGCAATGAAAGTTGCAACATTGTAATTTTTATGAATTATTTATTGTTTACAGAATCCAGCCGAAACTTACCCTTTTATTACGGATCAACAGCATCGACTTCCACCCCTTCCCTGGTTTTTCTATGGTATATTATTGTTTTTAAATATTTAATTTCATTTTTTATGTATTGATGATTTTCAAAAGAGAATTTATTGTTGTATATTTGAGAGCTACAATAAATAGTATTAAGTAAATTGTAATTTTTAAGCAACTTTTGTACTAAATTATATTTATTCGATTTCTGTCAACATTTTTTGACATAAATCGTCGTGAGATATACAATTTAATTGTAAATAATTTAATTTACAAAAGTTTAAATTGACATTTTAACTCTGTTTCAAAGTATAGTTAGTGTTTTGTAACTGACAGAAACAGCAATCAGTTTATAATTATTATGAAAGTGACTCAGATATTAGACTTTAAATTGCATTGACGCATGCCCAATACATTTGTCTGAAAAAACATATATAAGAAAAAATAAAATTTATTAATGGATTTAAGGTATCGGGAGCTAAAATGACAGCTGTATAAATAATCTTTTTTACGAATGATTTTATAAAATTAGATAGAAATGACATATAAACAACCTGTATGTGATAAAAATGGAAATTACTGTTATTAGAATTTAAGCAATATTTTGGTTTTGTTTCAATAAATATAATAACACTTCAATCAAGCGTCTTTTAAAAGTAAATGAAAAGATTGTAAATATAATATTTTTTAATTTTATCTGTTGTTTATGATAGTATCAAATTGCGTGTACTAACTCCTCAGAAAAAAACATGATTCATATTTTTGAAAGCTTTCGAACGAAAAATCAAAATGAAAAAAAATCATAGTTATTATTAAATATAAAAAAACCAAATGTATCGAATAGTATATAAATCAAGAATATTTCGTTGAGTGAATTCCCAAACATCATTGATTGATCTGCACGTGCCAGATCAATGTGCGCACATGCTAAACAATACGAAACAAGAAATCGAGTGAAGGTGAGCATGTTAGCCGTTGAAAACTGAAGGACATCTTTACATGCAATGACTTTCCAGTCTCCATTCTGAAAATTGCACTCCCCACCTGTACGATTGGCAATGAACTTGAAAAGAGAGTGGGAAATTGCAAATGGTGGGAAATAATTTATAGGTATACTAGGTAGCGTGAGCGGTTGCTTAGTTTACCGTGGTCGCTTATTTCCTTCTTTGTGCAGATACTTCAGCGTATACTCTCAAAAAATATCAAAGGTACGTGCTACACATTTTTTTAATAGTTTCATCAATTATTCGAATTGTGTTACGTTTCAATTAATTAAAAAATTGAATAATTCTGAACAAGAAATTATTTAGTCAGTTCAGTTCGTTTCGGAAACTCTTATCAGTAGTTTTCAATCGTTTCCTTTGTATATTTTAATGAATTATTTATCTGTTACACATGTAGAACAATAAATTACAAAAAGGATAGTCAGAATATGAAAAAGAACTGAACATAAGCTTGCTATCCTATTTTATTATTAAAAAGTAACTTATTATCATCAAAAATTCTTATGTATAAGTACAACTTCTTAAAATTTTAAATGTCTTTGAATTTCTATATATATATATATCTATTTAGAAATTAAATCTACATAAAAATTAATATTTGCTAAATCGTAAAATCATTTTATATTAAATTATACATAGGATTAACTTTATTACGAACTAATATCCAAACCAAACTTTCGTTTCAATTTTCAAAGTATGATCGAACTTTTTAGCAAATTAAAATGGCCTTGATGACTCACTATAATCGAAATATTATTGTTGTTCACTAATAATACATGCTTAGCAAAAGTGATGTAAGTATTGCATTGCAAGCGGCACTTGAACGTATGTACATCATCCTATAGATATAGTGAATTTAGAATTCTACAGCTGTTCGTGTGGATAATTTGTTTGGCTACTAAAAAACCGCGATGATTCAATATGATGTGAATTACGTTACATAATCTCGTTAAAATTTGTTCACACTGTAAATATCAAAAATAATTTTTAAATTTGCTTTGACTCGAGTCATCGTGCCACTAGAACATGAATTATAACGGACGACGATGTAATGTCAGTTTTTTGTGAGCCTTGGGCAAGCCAAACGAAAATACTGCACGGAGGTGAATATACATTCGCAATTTTTAAAAGAGTATGAAAAACTTCAAATTTTGTTCAGATTTGGCTCGGCTGTATTCAGGTTGTCGGAGTAAGTAACCGTATGTTTTTATCTAGTTATCTTGATTCTATTAATCACACCTACGTCTAAAATGTCTCATTTTAAAGAAGAAGTTATACATAAAATAAATTTAATAGTGGGAAAATCACTGCAAAGCAATAAATTACATCAACAAAATTAATTGTATGATTCAGCAGTTATTGAAACAAGCATAAAGGGGCCAGCAAGTATTAAACAGTGAAAATTATAAGTTTTCTTTACTGTGTTGTAAAAATTGTTCTAATAAAGTTATCATCGCGAACATTTTTCATCTTGTATTCGGCAAATGCTTTTATTTTTTTCTTTTTATATCCGAAAATCTTAAATAGATATTAAAGTAGTCTATATGTACGACCATCAAAGGGAAAAAAAAGGAAACATATATTTAAAAAGGAAAAAGTTGATGTGTCAAATGCGTGAGTTGGCGATCAGGGAGAGCGACTGTAGCGCCACCATCATGTTTTCTCTTGACGTAATGAGCACACTCGAGTGCGAGTAGTCGAGGGTATGATCTTGATCTTGTCTGTCGGAACATTATCGGCTCTCACTACGCACGGGTAGTCTAAGCGATTTTCACATGATCATACCATTTTTGAGCATTCACAACTGTACTCCTACGATCTCTCAATTTAATAAATTTCTTAATTAATCGCACATGTTTTCTTTTCCCTTGGCTCTATCTTTTCGCGAAGGTAGGTCATTAACCGATTTTCTCAAAAAAAGGTGTCCAAGACTTTCTCTCCTTAATCATAGCTCTTTACTTTTAGAAAAAGAACCTGTTTCTATAAAAAAAATTATCTTATAATCATAAATATAATTATGCAGCGCAGTACCACTATAGCTGCCATAAATTCAAAACCCGAACATAGTAAATTGTTGTAATTTTTTGATTGATATTTAAATGTATTGATAGCGATATGCTCAAATAATCACTTGTTTCACTTATCGAACTTTCTAACTCTTTGCTGTAGTACTATTGGTATTAAAACTTTTTATACTTCAGTGAAAAAAGTATTTAATTATTAGCTTCAATATTGAAGACAGTTTGTAATAATTGAAATTTCATTTTCAGTTTTACACAACAATGAAGAATTTAACAGAAAAAAACATCGATAATGGTAAGATATGATATACTTATATCATGTAAGTTTTAAGTTAATAATTTATAAACAATTTTGTTAAGCTGATTAAGAAACAGTTTCAACTTGCCGTGTTACGTCAGATAACAATATGTGTACTTTATTTCATTTCACTTAATAGATGAAATTTAATGACATTTCCAAATGTAAAAATAATTATTTCTATAGAGCAGCCTCAAACAGTGGAAGGTCATTTAGATGCAATTATGATTGACGAATCTTTCATTGACTCTAATTACAAAAAAGTAACCGTAGATGACTTGCCTGATTGGTATGACGAAGAACTATTTAAAAGGTATATTTACATATCGTGTATACTTCGAAGAGTAGTGCCTCATCTTCAGACCACAGATTTTAAATTAACTTTTGACTCCGAGGAATTTTTTTCGCCTAAAAATATGCAAGAATGTCCAGCTATCATAGAAAACTTGATTTTTCGTTGAATCTGTAAAAATTCATGACTAACAAATTATGAGAATTTGTCCTCATAAGGTAAAAAACGTGACGCATGATGGCATTTTCCATAAAATATATGAAATCTACCGTTAAACCAAAAGACTATCATTTTTATTTCACATAAAAAAAGATTCCTTAAAGATGGACGCCCAAAAATGCGACACTATCTTTGCTAGTATGCACAGTGATATCTACTTTATATATTTTATTCTGATACACTATTTTCATGACTATAAGGGGTCAGTTATATTATAACCGGAATGTACTGAGCATTCATATAGCTTATTTAATAGGTCTGATAGCAGTGTTTTTAATACCGACAATAGCAAAGGTATGTAAAGAATAATAAAAATCGGATCTAAAATGAATGTAATAACTTTACTTAGTAGCTATAAAAAAATATTAATTTTGTTCAATACATGATTACCAAGAGTATTAGTGACTTTTCTATAGCTCTGTTCATTACTTTAGCATTTTTAACTCACGTATACTTTGTTCCAGTATAGATTCTGACATTTACAAAGCAAACTTCAACTCCATGTTTAGCTTACAAGAGATACCTACAGACTATGATACATGTAATTAAACTTCATGAACACGATATAAAAAATTCACATTCGAAGTATTTATTTTTATTCGGTCTAATATTCTACATATTTCGATTTCAGTAACTACAATAAGATTTCTTTTAGATTCTATAAATCTTTAAACACTATACGTTGGAAACATTCGACCTCCAGTAAACGTTCTCAAGAAAACAAGCACAACGGTATTTTGCAAAAAGATATGGTCCTAACGCAATTTGCCTTTGTGGGGTATGTGCTATTAAAATCTGAGAAGCTGGGTTTTACTAATGAAACTGCAGATAGGCAAGCATTCAACCACTTTTGGCGTGTTGTTGGTCACTTGTTAGGTATTCCAGATAGGTAAAAAAGTTATCTAGATTGCTATTCACACGTTCAATGATTCTTGAATATTTCACTGATATAGCTAGTTATTTTATCTATGCACTGATATCAATCTTATTATTCAACATCTGTCTAGACTCAACATATGTCGAAAAAATGAGTTTGAAACAACACTACTGTGCCAAAAAATCATAACCGAAATTTCAAATATATTGAAAGATCCAGCGGTGGAATTCCATGCTTTAACCAAGACAGCACTTCAAGGATTACGTGCCATTGATCCAACCTTCGATACAGATGTATTTTATAAAATTTTTTATGAAATTCATAAAAGTGAATGTAAGTATGAAATTTGAGTATCATAGTAGTATTATTGAAAGGATATCCTCCGATAAAATATTTCAAAAGACATCCTTAATGAATACTTGAACATTAATTAGTACATTTCGCGATAAGTATAGAAAGTGTTAGGAATCCATTAAGAGTCTTCTCAACTGTTTTTATAAAAAAGAGGGTGCTATTCATAAACAAATAATATTCTATGTCATTTACAGATAAGAAAGAATTTAATCTGTACAGTAATATAATTTACGTCTACAGGAAGTCAGTCATAGCTTCTTTTCGTAAGTACAATAGCATATTTCCAATTACACCTCCAGAAAGTACTTTACCCATGCTTGAGTCCACAGTATCTTTAAATCAATTTTATTACAGGTATACCTATTGTAGGTCCGTTTTCTCGAATTTTTTGGAATAAATATGTCAAAATTGTGAACTGGATAGCCGAAAACTTGCCTCTTATTGCATGGATAAAATTTGGCAAAACTCAATCAAAAATTTATTTATATCCTCATTCTACAATATAGATAAAATATAATAAATTATAGTAGTTTCTTAAAATTTCTCGTAAAAAGCAAAAAATCCAATGATATTTTCTGTGGAATAATTTGTCAAATATAAATAAGGCAACTATAAATAAAAACCAAATTGAATTCCTAGATCAAATACTGCAGAAAAGAGACATTAATATTAATAAGCTTATTTAATAATACAGAAACGTTCGCACACTATTAATCTTTTTTTAGCTATCTAATAATTTCATTTTAATGTGGAGAAGCGCGAATATGAAATTTAATGTTATATATGCGAATGCGATAGATGAGATTCATCGATTGCTTATTATGTTTGTTGTGATCAATCATAATTGGATCCAAGCGAATAAAAAAGGGATTATGTCCTAATATGAATGAATTCGAATAAATATTGAACAATAATTGCGTTAAATGACATTATTAATAAGTCAATCTAGTCACGTTTTCTTTAATCATTGTTCATGCCGGGCAAACATTTTCATTTCATTTTATTTCATATCACTCATTAACATAAAGTTTATAAATTTCGAATAATACTTCACTAATGCACTGTAATTCTATGGCAACATGTTCATCGCGTTTACAATTTAGATTGCCTAAAAAGAGTAAGTTTCTATCAACTGTCTCACAATAAAAATGGTAATCTACTTCATAATTTTACACTATGACATAATATTCACAACTATGAATTTCACTCTCGGAACATTTTTTACAACCGCACCTTTCACAATTACATATTTTAACAAAAATTTTTAATGGAGCCTATTGTTCAACTCCATTAATCTTATATTTCACAATTGATGATTTTGTTTTTCTATCTCTAAGGTAAGATTCTGAATCTATTAGATAACTGTCTTTCAATAGCCTATAAAAAATATGATTATGAAAACAATACATAATGTACTATGGTACTTCCGTAACTTTCAAACATTTCAATAACAAAGATATCATATGCAATCTTTATTAACGTGTTTTTTACCAAGAATAAGCCTTTTCAACTCTCCGTTGAAACTTTCAAAAAGGAAACATGATATTACTCGCAATGGTCCAAAACGCCTATTTCAGCTAAATCTAGTGCCAAATATATATTATAACTCAAGCTTTGTTCGCGGCATATGCGCTTCATGTGTTCGCGAACTCGAAAATGAAACGGCACGCGCGCGCGCGCATATGCCGATAAGGATAGTCCCAAACACATGTGTTCCAGGCGCTCATCGGCTGAGCTTGTTATGACTGGGAAACTTGAGTCCCAGTACGGCCAGAATATATTTTCCGTCCGAATAATTAGTGAGTACATTTTTCTTCTTCTTTCTCTCTCTCTCTCTCTCTCTCTCTCTCTAAATGAAAGAGAGAGCTACGAACGACTACACTCGGAAAACCCATCACGCGGTGCGAGTTCAGTTCGCTTCGAGACATCGCCTCGTACGGTTCACCTAGTTCGTCTTCCTGTGAGTGCGTTTTTAGTGCCAAGCTACAAGACGTCGCGCAAACATCATTTTTTAAGTGCACCCGCGCCTGTGCACCCCTGTACATCCACAACTCGGCGAGCCAGCGACCTCAACAAGGGCTATCGGCAACCATCGGTTTAGTTGAGGATACACAAGGTATCCTCTGAGGCGTCCTCCGCCCTGGGGCAGCCCGAACGGCGGTTATCTATCCACTAGGAGCAGTATGGTGCGGGCTGTGCCCGTGACCAAGACGTTGGCACCATACTGTTCCAGGAGGTGCCTTCCTTCTCGCGCAAAGTGCGCAAGCGGCGTCCCGAGGTGAGCGAGTTATTACCGTTGGATGACCATCCACAGTCAGGTAGGACGAATGACCAAGACTAATCGAGTCTGTGCATTCCTTTTTATATATTGTACTTTAGCGGTTTAGCAATTAGTCACTTATCCTTATCAAGGTATTGCGTGTTAGTTATATTTCGTTGTATTCGATTTTCTTGCACTATTGTATTTTGGCGGCTTTTTCCCCACTCAAACCTGGGTTTTTTTACGCAGCCTATACGCGACATTTTTGTAATAAATAGCTTGTAAACGGCTTAATTAATTATTCTTATTGCTATAACACGCGAGATTACTTTACACTCACCTTTGTTACTTTATTCTTTATCAATTCTCATTAAATTAAAAATCATTACCCTGAATTGTTCAGAGTAAACAAGCTTGTTTTCTGATATAGAAGTTGAAATTGAGCTACGAATCCATGTAGCATTTTATCTGATTGATGATGATCTTAAAAACTAATAACATCAAGTGATCGAAATATTCTTTGGGCATTAAGTCATATAATATAGGTAAGCAATATACATGGCAATACAGTTTTATTTCATACGCCTTCCAATAAGCAAAATCCACGATTAGTCGTGGCAGACGATGAACTATTTTGGGTGATTAGCTCACGATGCAAGGCCGGTCTTGTCCCCCGCGTTGGCAGCACCCCTTGCAGTCCGCCGTCTTGGCCACAAGACTCCCACCCCCACTCAAGAGCCATTCCACTTATCCTCTCTTGGGATATGTCACAATTCTCAGTGAGCAAGCCATTTTATAGCGACTTCACAGCCCCTAGCGCCACCATTACCAAATCCCCGGCATTTTACCCCAGCGCCAGTCCCCCCTGCTGCCACAGATCCTCAGGTAGCACCGCAGGTGGTGGTAGCGCCTTTGTCATTGTTTACACTAAGAGAGAGAGAGAGAGAGAGAGAGAGAGAGAGAGAGAGAGTGAGAGAGTGAGTGAGAAGAAAGTCAAATAAGACAAAAGCTTGACATTGATGCCTTGACTTTGTGATTACCTTCAAAAATGCATTAATGACTTGTGACTAGTATCTATATGAAGAAAATGAATATCATATTTTAAATATATCGGACTAATTGTTAAAGTGTAGAATATCATACATGAAATTAAAAAATTGTTTGTTGATCTGTTTTTTTTACTGTGTCATTTAATATATATTTATTTTATTTGTACAAAAGATCTGGTTATAATTTTCAGCATTTGTGCCAGTTTTAAATAGATTTCATTGCTTAAAAAATGAGAAATTTATTAAATTTTCATTTTGAGATTTATCTAGCAGAATATAAAACAGTTAAAAAAAAGAACTAATTGTAATACTGTTAATTAAGTCTTCATATAACTATTTAAAAAAAATAAGCGAAACGTCTATTACTCTCTCTCTCTCTCTCTCTTTGTTTTTTCCCGCCTTCCATGAAATTAGCGAGCCTATTTGCGATCTTTAACTTAAATAAAAGTAATTAATATTTTATTTTTATCTGTACGTTTATCTCAGAAACGGTTCAACCGATTTCGATGGAGATGGGCTTTTTTGAAAGAGTATGCTAGCGAGTTAGTCTTGTTTTATTATTGGTTTGATTGAAGCATAACTTTGTGATGAATTGCAAAAAAATGAAATCGAAGTCGGTCTTTTTGTTGAAAAATTACTTGTATTTTTATGTCAGTGCATTTTCTGTATACTATTGAAACTATGATTATTAACAAAGAAGGATAGTAAGGTATAACAATGATTAATAAGGAATAAGAATATCAACCTGATTTAGTTTAATCAAAACGCTTGTTCATTTTATTTCATCTACACAAATCATCCGTTACATTTGTCATTTTCAACGATTTTTATTACTCATAAAAATTTGACAGTACAAAACAACTAAAACAATCTTGTTTGTTTGAAAAAGGCATGTATCAAAAAGATTGAAAATCATATTATATTTTTTTACTTCAAATTTATAAGTTCAGTTTCCATTTAATTTTTTTTCCCATCTAACAAGTACAATAACTTGTGATGTTACCATTGTTAGCACGTATAATATCTTGTTTATCAAACTGCCATAAATTTGATGATTTATTGACTAAGAGTATTGATATCAAGTTCCAATTTAGCTCTAAGATTACATTGATTATTTACTCAATCTGTAAGCCTATAAATAGTACATATAATATCATCAAGCTGTAAATGCAATTAGGTTTAGATGTATGTACTACTTATAAATTATCACTCAACCGTAATTCATAGGAGTCTTCTAAATTTTTAATTTTTTCATACGTAATTACGTACTGTTTCAACTACGTGATTTGCATGTAAAACAATTCAGAGTATATAGATCAACAGATTGAGTCAAGACAATAACTTTTTTAATATTTTATTATTAGGATTGATTTCTTATGTTTTACTTCCACATTTTATTATTTTTATAGGCATTATTTTATCGTAACCTATATGACCTTCAGATTTAACTTGAACACGTTGACTGCTATAACTAACAGTTATATAAATTTTTATTCTTTCATCGAAAATGTGAAAGTTATACTAATTTTTTGAGCCATATTAATTATTAATATTTATGTAGTATTCAGTTCTGGAAACATTGCATTAGTATAGAATGTAGACAAGCGCTTGTGAAGGAAAAACCATTATAAAAATCACAACCTATTAAATGAATTATGTAGCAATCAAAGCATCAAAATAATACATCAATCATGCGAAAACGTAACAAATACATTAGTATTATCAATGTATGTAATAGTAGTATACAATAGTATTATTAATAAACCACGCTGTAATCAATTTTACTATACATATATGATACATCAGTCCTTTAATAATGTTATGACAGTTTGTTTTAGATTCAAAAACTAGGTAAAACTAATTGATTTGTGTTAACATTTCAAAAATTATGTAAACATTTAACTCTAATAGAAACATATGGATATGCTTATTTTGTCTATATTGTAAATTATTTTTTTTTGTATTAGAAAAATAGAAATTGTTTTAAAGTACACTACTTATAAATTAAAGCAAAAATCTGATATGGCTTTATAAATATGTTGAAAAATAAGAATACAACCTAGCTTAACTTACTAAAAAACATTGTGAGATAATTTATGAACAACTCCTATGTGATAATTGAGACTTTGCTTTTGCGTGGTTTGAAATGAACAGAATCCACATTTTAATGGATTTTCACATGATCTCTCATGTTCCTTCAAACACCATCGTTTATCATATACTTTACCACATTTTGAGCACTTGAAAGAGTACTCTGCATCATGTTTCTTTTTAATATGCAAATCTAAATGTATCTCTCGCATACATTTAAATTGACAATGAGAACATTGATAACGTTTTATACTACCACATTCATGCCTAATATGTCTATGGAGTCCTCGAACTTGGTCATATCGTTTGGGGCAGCTTTTGCACTTAAATTGTAATCTTGTAGTACATTCCTTACATTCAAGACATTCTGCATTTTGAACAATAGTTTCTTCATCAACGACTCGATCACATTGAGAACAATAGAGTTCACACTTAATTTCTGTAAATAAAAGACAAATAAATTTTTCTATAGTTAACAATTTAGTCTAAATTGATAAAAAAAACATCACGTTACTAACTTGTTCTTCCTTGAGCAACTGTCAATTCTGATCCTAAATTTAAAACATTGGTTGCAGTACCATCTTGAATTTGTTCATCAGCTTTAAACAAGAGTTGAAAAAATATTATTTAAGATTATCTACCAATAATGATAAATGAAAGAAAAAACATTTTAACTCATACCTGGTGATTCCTTGATGAAATTATTAGTAACTTCTTGAACAATCTGTGAATTATTAGGTTGTAATTGTTTCTCTACAAAAAATCATGATTCAATATATATGTTTAAACTAAATTAAATATCAAAATGGTAGGTATATTTACTTACCTAGAAAACTTGTGGCATCATCTGCAATAATTATAAGTTCCTCTTTAGGAAAAGAAATATATCCATCATTAGTTGAATAAGTAGCTGTAAAATATTTACATTCAAGATAATATTTTATAAAATAAAATAAAATGTATTCTTCATTGAACAATGGAAATCCAAGTTTTTAACAATGATCAAAAATGTATGATAAACACATATTGGTCAAATGTTTCTTCATAATATTTGTTTATATAAATTTTTTAAACTACCATTTGATCCTTAATTTATTTTCATTCTTGTTAAGAATTGTATACAAATATATAGAATTACTTCTATATTATAATGTATATAGCTAAAGTAAATTATTATTTGGAAAATACTCTTACTCATAATTGGCTGGGCAAACATTTGGTTAGTACCATCCGGTACTGTTTCAATTTTGAATGTAATTGATTCTGTAAAAAATAAACCAGAATCAATTTTTTTAATGTTTCTATTTCATAAAGATTATTTGAATTTAGAAATATATTATTGTTAAAATATTACCCATTTCTGACTGCTTGAAATATGAAGTTTCAATGAACCAAATCTGTAATTTGAAATAATTTCAATTAACCTTATATGTACTGTTCCAATTATATTCTTTAAAAAAAGTTAAACTTGTAATTTTCAAGTTAATTCATGTATAAATATTTCTATGTTAGGTCAGTGTAAGTAAGCATGTGCATGCATTTTAATAAAAAAATACCTAAAAGACCGTATTTATTCTTTTATAAGAATTATAAAAAATTATAAGTGTTGAAACTTCATGAAAAACATGTTTTCTCTAATATTGTTTTTGTTTAATAATATAATGATTGCTTGTAAATTTAAATAACGTGTAATGATATGTAGTAGATATTATAATTTTCCACATTGCATATGAATATATTCTTCCATCATTTCAGTTATATGTATAACCTCTATTTTAGTCTTCTAATAAATATGAGATTATGTAACATTTGAAAATTAAATTTAGAAATTTATAATTGTAAAGCATTTTTCCAAAAAATGATAGAAATTTTTTATAAAGCATTCCATTAAACTAATAAGAAGTCAATATACTAGTGTTGCTTTTTCTAAAACACTGATTAATAAATTATTTAAACGCATGGTATAATAACAGTCATATTATGAAATATCTACATAGTATTAAAAATGATTCATTTAGCTATAATTCTGACAATCATCAAAATTATAATGAATTTAGAAAGGACTTTATAACCCTTAAATTCATTGATACTGTGGTATAAAAAATGTGGTCTAGCAAATGTTAATTTTGGGATTAATACATTGCACTTACTCAAGAGATCATATGTGTTCAATTACTATTTGAGATGTGATAGTAACAATAATCGCTATAACTAAACCAATAAAATAAACAAAGCCTGTTAATCGCCGTGCATTGTTATTTGTTAGTGAAATGGCACTACTTGCTCTTACGAATGGCCAGATGGCAGATGGTTTGGTCTTGGCTTGGTTTTGGCGTGGTATTGGTGTAAAACCCCGTGCGCGCAGCACGAAGTTCGCACGGTCGTTGCTAATAGTTCGTCGATAATGTCAAACACTAATTATCGTTTTATTATAGTTTAGCAATTTCTACCCCAATCATTTGAATGATCCAAACGTAGCATATAAATATTATCCATACATTTCGATTTTATGTTTTAATATTTCAGTCTAGCTAATCGCATGCGTAAATAAAAACTATAAATAAATTTTTATTAACATATACCGATTAGATTTTATCGTCCATTCGTGACACGGCAAGTTTGTGTAATAAAACTGATTTATAGCGATATATGATCACTTATTGACTTGTGTCTAAGTTTTGGATATTACAAAAAGATATTGCTAAATTTTTACATAGCCTACATTTTATATTGGTGCTTTCATTCCAATAACAAGATTACACTTTTTATTGCGCTACTATTATAATTTATTTGCAAATGTTTCAGCAACATTTATTATACTTACCATTATTTTTTTCTATAAATTTTAGTTTACTGTCTGCAATTTCGTACAAAAAAAACATTCATAATAGAACTACGAAAACAAAATGTATGTATAGTGATTTTTCGAAAACGGTTATGCCCATTATTTTTGCCGTTAATTAACATTTTCTATTATACACCTACTAGATGTTACCAACTTTTTTTATCTGAAGACTTATTTTACTACAGGATTTTACTTTTTCCTATCATATAAATACTCAAATTTTCAACTATGAAGACATTTTGATCTTTCAATAATCTAAAAAATATTGGCATATGAGATTTCCAGCTAACTACTACTTGTCTATACAAAACACAGTTGAATAATGTGTCCAAAATAATATCTTGTTAAAGTTTAGAAAAGTTTGGAGCGTCGCGTCCAAAATTCGGAGCATCGCAGCGACTTTAAAAATTTTAAAAATGTTTGGCGTTGATTTTATTATTTACTCCATTTTTTTCAAGGTTGTTATTATCATATGTATGTTATATTATTTTAAGTGTATTTTGAAGATGGAACGTAAATCTAGCCTATTAATAGTAGATTACGTGTTATGGACTTATCAATACTTTCCCGGTCTAGGTACATGTAATCTGTTATGCAATCTATAAAATATCGATTGCTTTAAGAATAGAAAGAAAAAGAAGCTGTAAAAAATTATTCAGTTTAATTTTTTGAAGAATTATTCAGTATGAATTTTATTTGGAGTTCTGGAGTTCTAGAATAGTTTTATGTAGTATAATTATCAAATTAATAAAATGAGCATCAAAGTGAATTCTAAAAGAAATTTATTAAGAAAATATGGATAAATTTCAAAATTCAGAATTATACTTTTATATCACTAAGAATTACTCGAGCGTTTCTACAAATGCACTTGCTCTTCATATGACTATTAAAGGCGTAAAAATCTCTACAATCTTTTTTGCAAAGTTTACAAGTGAATGAATTGAGCGGATATATTTTGGAATGGTTTCGTTGCATATGTATCACTGGATGATCTTTACGATATGCTTCGTAATTACAATGTTCGCAACAAAACCATTTTGATATTCCCGTTTTCTTCAGTTTTCTTATTCGTTTACGTTTCTTAAAACGATTGATATATTTGGACCTCGATTTTTTCATACTATGACATACTTTATAATCTTTTTCTTTCTTTACGTGAAGATTTGCTGTATGTTGTCTAACACTCCAGGCATATTTGTTTTTAAATGGACAAAATTCACATTTAATATTTTTCTCAATTCCGCAAAGCTTCGTGGGCGCGTAAAGCGATTTGATAGATTTATACACTTTATCACATTTTGAACACTCTAAATAACAATTATTCTTTTTACTTTTAATTGTTGATTGTTGGTTTTTACATACATAGGGATTGTAAACTTTTGTGTTGAAGGTCCGACTATCATGCTCAGTTTTTATCTCAGTTTTGATAACATTCTTCAAACCTTTACAATTATATCTGACGTGTCTGTAAGCACTAGGTAAATGTTTATAACAATTATCGCAAGTAATGCACTGAAAGCTTAAAGGTTCTCTACAGTTTTTCTTTTCACAAGTAAAACTTTTGCTGTAATCGTTTTGAAAATCTTGTTCTGAATTAGATTTACACCGTTTGCAGTAAAGTCTAATCAAGTATTTGTAACCTTGAATATATGAAAAAATGTATGATAGTAAATATATTTTTGTAAGTCAGACGATGGAAGTTTAAGATTTCCAATTAAAAACATACTAACTTGGTTTGTTTTTTGATTTTGTAGGTACAATTGTTATTCTATATTTTTCTTCCAACTTCAAATCCGCTTCAGCTGTGTTATTATCAACATGTTCGATTTCTAAAATAAAAATTGTATGCAAATGTACAGTGGAAGAGATACATTTGTGAAATTTAATGCCAGATATATTTTTATACATTTATCAAAAAATATCAAGAGGCATGCATTTTTGGATTATATTTATAATATTTTATTATGAAAATTTTATTATTTTCAAAGTAGATGAATTTGTTATCATACCAGAATAATAATTGAAGTCTTGGCAATATGGTATTTCGTTCCATTCTTCATCTATCAGTTCTTCTTTTATGGATCGATCGATATACAGTGGATCTTGTAATTCTGTAACATCTTGAACAAAATACAATTTTTTATTCTCAAATGTGTAAAACTATTTTATTTTGTTAGTGAAGCAGCTTATAACTACAAAGCAATATGTTAATTACATGGCATTGTAAATTAACGATTAATCCAAATTTATTAAGAAAATATCTACATTTTCGGCAAATTAATATTTCGATAACATTGCATGTACATAATTCCTAAATTTTCTTTTATTAAATAATTTTTTACAAAAAGTAAAAGATGATATGAAATATTTATCCATAGTGATGTGTCAATTTTTGACGAACTACCGACTTGTATTCTTCATCGACATATAACTTCTGCACGTGTAATTCAGAAAATTAAATGACTAATTTCACTGCAGGCAGAGCATTAGTTTTTGGTATCTTGAACAAAAAAATATAACGAAGGCTGAAAGATTAAATGCATTTTTCAATAGCGATTCTGGATGGTAATAAATTTAGATTTCCATAATATATTAAAATTATACCTGAAAAGTACAATTATAATTGTTTATAGTTTTAATTTTCTGTTGGTCGGCTATTCTAAATATAATAGTGTTCAAGGGTTTTTTTACCACATTCCTTTTTTCGGATTGTCAAAATTGCTGTTCCCATATACATGTATATACATACATACATAAATTCGCATTTAATATCATTTTCATTATCTTATTTTTTAGGTTTAAAGAATTGACATACATCTGTTTTTTACATACAAATTTAACATATTTACATCGTAACTATTTTAGTTTTTATTAACTTATTTATCCCTTAATTAGTTATTTCGAAAAGCTTATTCGCATAATTTTAATGTTAATAATACATAGGGTATTTATATAGGAAAGGTATGTAACATTAATTAAACAGTTTTATTGTATTTCATGAATCATGCCGTAAAATACCGTCAACAGACTCACGTGGTATTGTAGACAATACATTATACCATTATACAGAAAGAAATCTATATATTTACACATTTTTTAAAGAATTTTTCGTTGTACAGTCACTAAATATATTCACCGGTGCGAAAATAGCCCGACACAAATATCATTTTATAAAAAAAATGATCACGTCTCACGTATTTCTAATTGTACTTCTCGAAAAAATAATTATTTATTATTGTACCATTATATTTCTCATAAAAAATAAAAAATATTGTTATCGATCATTCACCTCCTATTTATTCATATAAAAGACATAATTAAGCAAAAATAAATTCACAGAAAAATTGTACCTTCTGTAGTCTAAATTGTACCATCAGTACAATTCTATAAATTTGTTTCTAAAAGAAATAGTAGGACAATTACAAAGCTCTACGCCTGCGCAAAGTGCATTTGCGGATGACATCGTGTAAGTTGTAACAATTAGTGGTAATTTGTAATTGTCCTATTATTTCTTTTAGAAATAAATTTATAGAATTGTACTGATGGTACAATTTAGACTATAGAAGGTACAATTTTTCTGTGAATTTATTTTTGCTTAATTATGTCTTTTATATGATATATAAATATATATAATAATATTTATATATATATCATATTATATATATAATATATATAATATGATATATATATATAAATAGGAGGTGAATTATCGATAACATTTTTTTTTATTTTTTATGAGAAATATAATGGTACAATAACAAATAATTATTTTTTCGAGAAGTACAATTAGACGTACGTGAGATGTGATCACTTTTTTTTTATAAAATGTTATTTGTGTCGGGCTGTTTTCGCATCGGTATATATTCCAGTAAAGATATATTGACTACATGCATGCGATTGTATGGATTATGCTAGAACTGGATTTCGTAGAACTTAGAGGAATGAATTAACGTCTTTTGTTCAAGCAATAGTAAATTCCTGGAAAATAGTAACGTTTATATTTCACATTGTCTTCTTTTATTATTAAAAACAATAAATAAAATTTTAATAGTAGTAATATAAAGTATTAATACATAATTGTAAATGCCTCGAAATATTCAAATTCAATAAATGCAGCTAGCAAAAATATTATAATTTTGCTATTAAATATACACTAATATCGTACAATATTTGCTATCACTATACATTTCAGATTTAATAATTTAAGTCTATTAAATTTTGTTCTACAAATTAATTGTTTTTAAAAATTGTGTGCCGGGTTTAAAAAAACAAACATAACCTATATGATATGTGTTCGATATAAACAAGAAAAATGAAATCAATTTTGAATCATCAATAAATGTGTTCAATGTGCACTATGTAAATTAACTTATTTAAAAGTTTATTAAACGAAAAAAAAATTACTAATTAATATTTGCGGTGTAAAAATGTACCAAAACTACCTCGACTTTGGAATATATTGTTGCTTTTAAAAGAATAAAATAATCATAGACTGTTGTTCTATTTATAGATTCCGAAATTGTAAAAATAATTATACATGAGCATAATTACTCATATTAAAATATCATAGATATATTAAAATACGTCAACGACCTCGGGTCGAGCGAAAAATGTAAGCAAAAGAATGTTATTATTTACCTATTTTTAGACATATTATGTTTGTGTGTATGTGTGTGTGTATATAGTCAAAATAAATTATTGAATGATATACATAAGTAATATTATAGATATCAGTATACATACGTAGATGTTATTTTCTATAAACCACACAATTTTAATTATGGAAAATATTTCTTCCAAAATTATTGCAGACATGATACAACACTGTAATTAAATTATAGAATGTATTTTGGTAATAAATCTTACACTGGCAAAGCATTTGTATTTATTTGACTGAATGTTTATACATGGGTAAATGAATAAATTTGTTGGCTTTTGTTTACGTCTCATCAAGTTTACCTCTGTAAACTGCATTTTGGAGTAATTGTTATATTAAAATTATAACCACATTTCAAAACTATCACAATTGAAGGTTTTTAGAAGATGAAAATTTATTCTTTTTGTTGTTGATGTGTATCTAAACACACACACACACACCACACATGCATACATACATATAAACACACACACACACACACACAGAGTTAGACTTTACTCAGTCTTAACACGTGTCCTATAGCACAGTGCACGCGGATTACTGAGTTCCTGAAGTCTGCTTTTTCTATAAATTGCAAACATTGTTCATTGGTATACTTTTAGTAAGATGGCGTAGTCGTAGCTGAGTTGATATCTTCATTTGATTTGCAAACTAATTAAAAATAACATATAAAATTTTAAATTAAAAAAATTTACACTAATCAATGGATCATTAGAAAAATGAAATATCACAATGATGAGAAATATCACAAATAAAAAATGATTTATGTCACATATTTGTAAAAAAATAAAATAGTTTATCATTTTTTTATATTTAAAATTTCGATATATTATAATAATTTTACCAAAATTTGAATAAATTGTCTAATGTTCTCATATAACTCTGTATGTTATTTCATAATAATATATTGTATATACTCTATCATATACTCTATCTCTTGTGATTTCTTAATAACAATTGTTAATTATAATATAATAAACATTTGACACTAGTGGCAAGGAATGGCCTTGCTCATGTAGAATTAAATTCGCTTGTTTATAAATATTGACACCTAAATAAATACTTTCATAACAAATAAAAATTTGTATATTTTAACTTATATTCGAATGAAATTTATATCTTACCTCAAATATTGCAAAACAGAAGGTTTAATAAACATATATATTTATTATATTATATTTGATGAAGCATAACATCATTTTAAATCATAATTTTTACTACATTTTGAGTTCAATACTGAAATATTCTAATTTACAAAATTTAATATCTCTAATTTTAATTGTAAATATTATTGTGGTAAATTATAGATTTAATTCTGTAGCAATTGTACTTTTGTTTTGCAATTAAGTACATTCTACAACATAAGTGTCTGTCTATTATGTTGAGTCAACTCTACAAGATAAGATATTAGAAACTTCTAAGGATTCATACAATTGTCCAAATATAGTATACACTATCTAATTATATTTGTACCTTGTCATAACTATTATCAGTCTTTTCAAATATAAACTCTTTAATAGCTCTTTTGTATAAAAAATATTCAGATAAAACATCTTTCAATTTCCAAATATTTCTAAGCAAATGCTTATACATATTAATAATTTTGAAACAATTCACGTTATAAACTATTCCTAAAGATTATCAGGAAAAATTTGTCTTTCTCCTTCCACTAGAAGAATTTGGAAAGCTTTAAACAGTAAGTACCTGCCTAGTTCACATTTTTCTTTTAATCTCCATGTGGCAACTACTCCATAATAATCACCGCACTTACAATTTCCTAATTTTTTTGTACCTAGTGCTTCAATCATTGCTGCTTCTCTAGTGTAGGCCTCAGCAGGAATGGTATTATGAAATACATGTAGAACCACAACTCCCCTGCCATCATTCCAAATGTCAAGAATTCTTTGAATTTTTTCACTTGTATCATGTTGATTTTTGGAAACCCAAATCTTAAAAGCATCGTAAAGATGAGCATAAGGTCTCGATTGTTTTCCTTTGCCAACATAGAAAATTGCTGATAGGAAAGTTTTCCATTTATTCGACATACTTAGTGTATTTGCTCTCCTTGGAAGATCTTCTGTTATTCGAGGGTCAAGAAGAAGGTAGTTGAAGGAACATTTAGTAGTTCCTTCGCGCCATTTTCGTGATGGATTAGGATTGTGAAATTCTAAAAAGATTTTTTGTTCATTAGCTTCATAATCATCTAAATTTTGTATCCATTCTATAGAGAGTAATGATGATTTTAAATTATCATTTTCAGTGTTAAAATCGGTCAACTTCTTGGATTGAATGCATAAAGCATGATTTTGATGTATTGATTTTTTGCTTGTTGATTCTAACTTATGTAAGCGTTTCAAGTACAAACGATGAGTTGTTTCTGTGATTGGTCCAGGATTATCACCCAAATTTTGTAATCTTTCACGTAAAGTTATATTATCTAACATGAGTAATTCTTTAGGCAATGGTTCTGATTTTGCAGTACTACAGGAATAGTACGAAGAATTCATGTCAGAAGAAGCACTGCAATAAATGACTAAATTTTATTGATAATTAATACAAGTAAATTTTCTAAACTCAACAATATTTAAAATCCATATAAATAAAGTTCAGTGAAATTCCACCCAAAATTTCAATCTAAATGTACCCATTCATTTTCAATTTTAAAAATTAAAAATAAATAGTTAATTGAAATGAATAGGAATGAATGAATGAGAATTAATAGGAAAATTGACAATGAAACTTATGAATCAAATTGAATTGTATGTAACAAATTAAAGAAAATTAAATGATTTGCATCTTACCAAGGTGGACTAACACATAGCCTTCTTTCTAAGAAATTAATGCCTTCTTCAGGATCTTCATACTTATACTCTTCTTCTATATTAAGGAATGTATCTAACTCATGTTTTGGAGAAGTTTTAATCTTGCTATCTTTAAAAATACTATTATTACTTAGGAATAATGGTGATTCCAAATCCACATTCTTATCATTATCTGCATTATCGACAGTAATGTGGTCTCGTTTGGGTAATGATTGATAACTATCACTCGATACTGATAAGCTAGAACCTATTGTAGACGTGGGACTACCATAAGCATCAGCAGGCTTTTCAAAATGTTGAGAAATTTCACGTTCTTCATTGATTTTTTCTTTTCTAGATTCATTCTTTGGAAGAGTCCCAGCAGTATTCTTTTCGATAATTGCTTCTATTATTTGTGAATTGTTTGATAAACTATTTTCTTTATCACTGTCTGATTTTGAATTTGATCTTGATGTTATTCCTGATTCCAACATACCAATACCAGAAACATAATGAGATCTTGGAAGTTGTTTTTCATATTCTTCATTAATATCAAATGGAAGGCACCCATTTAATTTATTCTCGATACTATTTGTCGTTACATTATTTATTCTTTCATTAATTAAATCTTCTTCATCATCATACTTACAATCATTCAAATTCATAGCTACTTTCTTGAAACTTAGTTTCTTGCAATCAATATCCTGTGACCTACTACATGTTGAATTTCCTTTGAATATAGTTTGATTGTTCATATGATTCAATGGCACCTTAGTATTAGATATTTTTGATGTAGATATTCTTTCTGATGAATTTACTTTTCGTTTATTTGAGATATAGACAACTGTTTTTGTTGAGTTTTTCAAATTTCTCTTAACAGTTTTTAAATGAGACGGTGTTGTAAAGTACTTCTTTGATTTTGATATTTGATTGACTGGTGTTACGCATTTATTGAAAGTTTGAGGGCTTCTACCTTTTGTAGGAGTAACCAAAGGTGATCTTTTTGATATTTTGACAAATGTTGGAGAAGATCTTTTTTCTAACAGGGTATTTGTCATTTTTGACTTTTTTTCATGTAAGAGTGTATCAACAACTAAATTTGGTGATCTACTAATGATTGTTTCATCTAGCCATTTATTCGTATACGAAAGATTATCTTGAGTTAAAGTTGAAGTTTCAAATTTATTTGGTGTGACATGTTTTTTTGTCAATGATTGCATACTTTTCTTTGTAAGATTATTTTTTTCTGAAATATTAGGTATTTTCTTCAAATTATTTTTCAGTACCTCATTATTCAAGTACGAAACATGATTATGTTGTTTGATTACTTGCAAAGTTGAACTACGATTATTATTAGTAGATTTCTCTTTCAGCTTAGTGAACTCATTATTCCTCTTTGGTCTATTGAAAGTCATTGATATTCGTTTGTGCTTTGGTGGGCTGACTTCATTGGAAGAGTATTCACTTTCATATTCTTGAAATATGGATGTGCTTGAATCTATGTCACTGGTAATGGTACTGGATAACTGAGCAATGATTTTATTAATCAGAATCCTTTCTTCTTCATCAGTTTCTTTTTTCAAATCAAACTTATTTTTTCTAGTTTCTTTCTTTTCTTTCCTCAAAGTTATAAATTTATTATTTATTGACATTGAATTTGTTGTACTACTTTCAGGCATATAATCACTTGTATTTATATTTGAACTTCTACTTCTAATGAAAGAAGAATCTGTAGTAGAACTATATATGGAATCATTTGATAAAATGTACTCTGCCAATACATCGCCATTATTTACTAATATTTTTTCTGAAATAATTATTTTCCATAGATTTATTGTTATATACAAATAATGTATGTATAAGATAAACAACTTAATTTACCTAATTCTCTTTTAAATTTTGGTTTTTCATCTTCTTCTTCATCATTTGTACAATATTTAGTAAGTATGTGTACAGCATCATGATGCTCTCCTTGAAAAGCATAGTGTATGGGAGAACAATAATCATTATCAAGGTAAAGTGGATCTCCACCATTAGCCAGCAAAAGATCAAGAATTGTAGTCCGACCCCATGCTGCTGCTACATGTACAGGTGTCATACCATCAACTGATCTATAAAAATAGTAAGAATTTTGCACTTTTTTATTTTCCCACAGTGATGTTAATATTTTGTTAAAAATAACTCTAGATAACTAACTCAATGAATGCATCGGATAAATAGAAGCAAAATAATGACTCAAATGATATAACTCAATTTTCAATTTAAAATAAACTATCATACCTAACATTAGGATTTCCACCATGTCGTAAGAATAATTTTGTCACTTCTTCAGCAAATGCTTCAGAGTCATTGCCTATTACCAGATGAAATGGTGTGATTCCATGCAATGGCATCAATACATTTGGGTCAGCATCTTTTTTCGTTAAAAGAGTTGTCACTTGTCTGATAAAAAAAATGTACTTGGAAATAAAAACAGTTTCAAAGAGGAATATAAATAAAATGCACAATAATGTTTAAGAATGAGGAATCTTACTTCAAGTCATTATCTTCCACTCCATCGCACAAAGAAGATGCCAAGTACAAATTACCTTTTTGTTTAGGCGTTGTTGTAAATGAAACACTCATTTTGATACAGTGTTATTGTAAAACGATGACTTACAGGTCGACTATCGAAAGTAGATTAGAACTATCGAAACTTCTCATTGCTTTTGTCCTTCTTTCACTCTGATAATACGACTAGAAGTTATTTATACTGCGTGTAAATAATCAAATCAACAGGCTCAAAGTTATCCGTCATCCATATTCCACACACGGAATCAAAACATAAATGAATATCCGCTTAATATGTAGCACATACACATGCATACGTACATACGTTTGAACTTTGAATTTAATCTGTGAGACCAATCATCGTAGCTATATAGCGGTAGTACGCCATTTTAAATCTATTATAGCGGGAAATTCAAATGTTATTCCTGAATAAACTTCAACTTTAACGTTTAAGAAATTATATAATTTACCTGTTCGTTCTTTTTTTAAGAATTGAAAAAATCAGATTTCTTTAAAAATTTTATTAATACTAAATACGGCACTGGGTAATTATAAATCAATATCGTGATACTGATTTTAACCAAAAGGTACACATAAGAATAAATAATCAACGTCTTAAGTACAAAAAAGCATACAAACTTTTATTAAAAGTAGGTAGAAAAATAAGATACATGTGTGTTTTCGTTGTTGTGTAAAACTTGAAAAGCCTTAAATCGCGCTGACGCGTTACTCTTCGCTGTATGAAAGTATCGATGTAATGAACGTAATTGATCTTATGCTTTCTTTTTTTTACATGAAAAATATAAGCGCACAATATTTCATGTGTATTTTCGCATATACAAACTTTTTTAGATTTGTACAGACGAGATGTGTTATCGTTTTCAAGTACACAATATAGAACATTTTTAATGCAAATAAATTAAAGTCACTTGGTATGTACGCGTAGAAAGAATCATTTAACTAATTCAACGTATAATAAAAATTTTTCAATCAATCACGCACTCGTTTTGTTAAAAGCTCTTTTTCATTGAACTATAACTCGATCCACTCACCAATTTTTACGTGCGCTTCTCATGTCCATAAGTCTTTCAACTATGCACCATTTATAATGCTTAAATAAGAAACGCGTTTGATGCAACATATCTATATATATACGTGTCCGTAAGCTAAAAATTCGTGTAATATTTTGAAAACGAACACGTATTATATTAGAAAACTGCGAGTATTTTAAAAAATGAAGCAGCAATGAAATATTGAAAATGAGTCATGAATTACCTCTTATCAAAACTTTAAGCTCTTAATATATGAGCGTGGCGCGAGCGCACGTTCTCACATAGAGAGCTTTTTCATACAATAGTCATGGTATGCTTATAAGACCTTCAAGATTTTCTTTTCGTTCATTTGACGTCTTCCTTATCGTGTATTCAATTTTTAACAAATATTTGTTGCTATATTCCAAGCGTCTTACTACAGTGTTTAGGAAAAGGAGTTTTTTTAGATAATCGATCAAGGCTTTCCCTTTTGGATTCTTCTGAGCCAATCTTTATTATTATTTTCGCCGGCGTTTTTAAAAAATCAACCTTCTCAATGCTACAATGATCAAACGAACATCGGTAAAATTACTAATAAAGATTGACTCAGAAGGATCCGAAAGGTCGAGACACGATCGATTACCTAAAAAACTCGTTTTCTTAGTTTTTAACAAAATCCAACGCTTTGTCGTGTACGACATTCATATAGTCTCACAACTCTTCGATGATGTCAATTTTCGAAGAATAATCACGCTCTTTCATATCTATAAGGTATACCTATGCACATCGGCCAGTTATGATTGAGATAATTAAAAGGAATCCAATCGTCGTGTATATAAGCTCTGATTTTCATTCCAAGTTAAACTACAGCAATTTTCACATCGAATTGGAAAAGTAATAAAGAGCAATTCGCTTGGCAAGTTTGTGCATCAAGTTTATTCCTTAATCACCTAGAAAGACAGATAAACATAGACAGAGAGACAATTACTTAAAATGAATTCAGTTTAAACGACGACGCAATTTAAATGCGATCGCCGTTGTGCAAAGTCAAATGCAGCAGAGATGAGAGAAACCTATACAATCGATGTTGCTGAGAACGCGCTCTGAAAAAATGATTAACATGCTAAATTTCAATGGAGAGCGTTCTGCATTTTGTATAGCTCCACCAACGCAAGCGAAGGCACTGATTTGCAATTCTCCGCTACAATAGCTTAAGTACAATTTGCCGCCGATGATTGCGCAATAAACATTACGCGCCTATATTGTATTGTTTGCAAGCATTGGAACAGCTAATTTTATATACAAATTCTTTGTATACACTGCACAGGTATACCTTTTTTCTGCTTAAAGTGTTTACCGGGCGAGCATTTCTTTTATCGTAACGCATATATTTATGTCCATCATTTTTTTCTAATTTATTAAACATACGCAAAACATGTCTGTCTTGAATATTTAAATCAATATTTATATGCATAATAAAGATATACGTATATATTACGACTCCGTTAACAAGATTAAATTCTAAAATATTTACATAACATTGTATCGTCGCTGCTCGGTCGTCACGATGTAATATGTTGGCATTGTTTCGTGAATTATACAAATCATCGTTATAAGTATGATACGTGTGACGTTGTTGGTATTCCATAAGTTTACTCGCGGCTAATGGAAATCTACGTATTTTTGTACTGCACGGATCAATTATCATTTCAACAATCGAAGGCCAATCTTTTTATTTTGTTTTTCCAATTTTCTAAATCACTTCGAATAACAGATATACAGTGACACAAGAAAGTCAGCAATCGACAAATTCAATTTATTTCCTACATACATTAATTCATTTTGGACGGATATCATTACATTTTTATGTTGATGCAATACATCATCACGATAATCACGATAAATGATTTGTGTTATTTTATAATTCTTATTTTGCAGAAACAATCATTTTCATCGCTATTCCGTGAAAAAATAATCAAATAAAAATAATCAAAACTGGAAGAAGACGTAAATTTGTTACCATGGTAACTCCTGAAGAGAATAAATCTCTTTCGTTATATGATATATTTGTATTAATAATATACTTAAAAATATCCTCTAGCTTAATTGACGAACATTTCCAACTCTCATGTCATTGCAAGTTGAGTATTATTATAATTATATAATTTAAACTACCTATGTACGATTGGTCTTCATTTACATTCGTTTGAAGACATTTGATAATCGTGTATAATATATATTTATAATATCGTATCTGGTCTCACCATGGTTTGCATCTATATATCTTAAAATTATATCTCTTACATCGCTTTTACATATATTTTTCCATTGCAGTTCTACACTACATATATTAAAAATTAAATAAAATGATATAATTACTAACAAATGCATTTAAAAGTTTGCACGAGCTAACGTTTTATCGTCATTAAAAGGCGCTTCATAAGAGCTCGATTAATTCGTTGACAAGTTTGTCGGAAAAAGTCGACATGCGAGTAAGCAATACAGTGTAAATCGTGTAACCACTCTTTGTGAACCAATGGGGGAGATTTACGTTTTTAAAATAATATCACTTGTACAGATTTGTCATTACAAACTTTTCTTAAATCCTTTCTGCAAAATATCATTTTAACGATTCGCAAGTGATTTTCTACATTTGAACAAGTATTATTCAATGATACTATTTCCGAAAAATCCTTAAGTTATAAATTTCAATAGAATTCCGGTAGTATAAAAATTGATTCGACTTTTATTTAAGTAATATCGAGACAAGTCAACTTTACATCTACATAAGTAACTTGAAATATAAAAAACACGAACTTACAAAAATAGCCTCATTAAGATCGATATTTACCGATTTCATTTTGTATATGATTTGTAATAACGAAGAGCATTATTGGCACTATTTTACACCTTCGACGATGTCGTTTGAAGCCAATAGGATCCCTTTTAAACAAATTTACTCGCTATACATAATCGAAAAATTAACTTTAGTATAATCTTGATAAATATAATCGTTGCATTTAGAAAAATTAGAGATAAGTAATTGATGATTTAACTAATATATCGTGTAGAAAACGCGTTGTCAGTATTTTCAAATCACTAGCGAATACTTTATCCCTCATGATCATCAATGATAACTAAATCACAGCTCATGCTATTGCTTGCTCAAAGCCAACGAGTAAAAGATTAAGCGTCGAGAGGATAAAATGTCATGTGATTGGCAATGTTTCAGATCGCTTTGAATCCTGTAAAAGAGGATTCGTATAACGTCAAAGATTTGGAAAAAATCTCATAAATTTTCTTGAAATTGATACGTAATTATTTACAGAACAGGGGATTAAACGTCAGTACAATCTGTTGGGTATGAGTATTTTGCTGTCAATCTTGGTGGTGCAGTGATAGAGCTTCAGAGCCGTCCGTAGGCACAATTGAGACGGCGACGGGGCTGCGTCAGGTGTAAAGCTTCATCATTGACGATTCGCCATTAGAATGTGTTTGGTCGCTGATTAACATAAACTAGCACGGCGGCCGGTGAAGCGGGCACGAGCCATCCGATCGTCGAGGTCGGAGGCGCTGAGCGCACCCGCGAGGTCGAGAGAGAGAGAGAGAGAGAGAGATAGGCGAGCGAGCGGCAGAGCAGCGGCTGCCGATTTGTACTTGGACCGGCGCCGAGGCGCTGAGCGAGCGAGCGTTCGGCCGAGCCGAGGCTCAGTCGGGAGGAGGCGCGGCTGGGCAGGCTCGCTAGCTGCCGATCTGCGAGTCGGCGGCCGCGGCGACGATCTGCTCGGCGACCACGGGCTGCTGGCCCTGCGACGCGGGACTGGCGGGCGCAGTGCCGTTGGCCTGCGCGCTGGCCTGCGCCTGCGCGGCCGCCGCCTGCGCAGCCTGGGCCGCCACGCTGCTGGGCTTCTGCGTCACGTGGGTCTGGTAGTGCTTGGCCAGGTGGGCCTTCTGCCGGAAGCTCTTGCCGCAGAGCGAGCACGAGAAGGGTTTCTCGCCGGTGTGCGTCCTGATGTGCACGTTCACGCTGTACTTGTCCTTGAAGCCCTTGCTGCAGATGCTGCAGTAGTGCAGCGAGCGCTCCTTGCGCTGCGTCGTCACGGTGGAGGCGCTGCCGCTGCCCGGCGAGCCGGACCCACCGCCGGGACTCGCGTTGGCACCGGGCCCGGCGGCCCCGCCGGCGCCGCCCGCGCCGCCGTTCGCGCCGCTGTTGGCTTTCGAGCGCCGCACGTACTTCTTGGCCGGCTTGGCGCCGCCGCCGCCGCCGCCGCCGCCGCCCCCGCCGCCGCTCGCTCGGCCGCCTCCGCTCGTCGCGATCTGCAGCTGCGCCGTGGCCGCGTTCGCCGTCTGCTGCTGCTGACTCGCCGGCGCCGCCGACTGCACGACCTGCTGCTGCTGCGGCTGCTGCTGCTGCTGTTGCTGTTGCTGCTGCTGCTGCTGCTGCTCGCCGTGCCGAGTGTCTGCAACAGATTCGGAGGAAGGTGAGACGATGCGCTCGGGGAAGCGAGTCCCGCGCGTCCTAGTTGAGAGGTGGAGGCGGTAAAAAGCCGTCGCTCGCGAGAGCCGATGGAATCGAAAGGCAGGAACGCGAGACGGAGGCGAACAAGAGGAAGCCACGAAATTCATCAAGACGTAACGGGGTCATCGCGCCCGCTCGCCGCCAACGACCGGTGCTCTCGAGCGCGGGCAAAAACGCCGAGACGCTCGGCGGCCGACTGACCTTGCAGCAGCACGTCCTGCGGGGGCGGAGCGGTGGTGACGACAGTGACGGTGCCGACCTGCGCGAGGTCGGCGGGCAGAGTGATGGTGCCGAGGCTGCCGCTCGCCGGGTCCAGCGTGTACATGACCGTGGTGCCGGGCACGCTGCACACCGCCGGCTCGAGGTTGCAGTAGGACTCGACGACCTCGCTGGCGATGCTCTTGAGCTTCTCGTAGTCGGCGCTCCGGTAGGCCCCGTCGACGTCCAGCTGCGAGAGCAGCAGCTCCTCGGGCTGCAGCTGCTCGTCCTTGACCTGCTGCTGCACGTCACCGCCCGTCAGGATCCTCGCCGTGCCGGGGTAGAGCTTGCCCTGAAGGGCGTTCCGCAGCAGGCTCTCGGCGGCGGACTCGCCCTCCTGCAGCGAGTTGCGGTCCGAGAGCTTCCAGTCGTTGTTGTTGTCGCCCACCTCGGCCTTCACCTGGTGCACGAAGCCCGGCTGCTCGTCGAACTGGCCGGCGGCCGCGGCCAGGGCCGTGGCCGCCGGGTCCACGCCGCTCGCCTCGGGCCCGCCGCCGTCCGCGCCGATGCTCACGCTGCTCTCCATGTTGAGGATGGCGTCGAGGTCCAGGTGGTTGCTGGGGCGCCAGCTGTCGGGGCCCGAGCCCACGGGGCCGCCGCCCGGGCTCTTGCAGCAGTTCTCCAGGCCGTCCATCGAGTTGGCCTCCGAGTTGAGCACCGTCAGCGTGTAGATGGCGCCGTCGGTGTTTTGTCGGTCCTCGACGTCGCGCTGCTGGTGCTGCTGGCGTTGGCGCTGCTGCTGCTGCTGTTGCTGCTGCTGCTGCTGCTGCTGCTGCTGCTGCTGCACCTGCAGCGTGCCGCTCAGCGGCGAGCCCCGCCGCTGGTCGAGCAGGCCGGCGCCGGCGTGGTGGTCGCCGCCGGCGGAGCCCGGCTGCGTGGTCCAGCAGTACTTGTTGAGGTCCTCCAGGAGGATGCTGCAGGTCTGCTCCTTGGCGTCCTCGCTCACCCAGTAGTCCGACTGGTCCATGGGCACGGGCTCGTCGGCGCCGAGGCCGCATCGGTTCCTCTGGTTGTGGTGGGCGATGTGGCCGAGCGAGCCGGTGATCGTCGACACCGGCGGCAGCGCCGTCAGCGTGTTGTTGTTGGTCTCCTTCTGCATGAAGCCGTCGTGCAGGCGAGCCTCGTTCAGGAAGCTTATCGTCGTCCGGCAGCCGGCTCTGTGCAGGAAGTGCTCCTCGTCGTTGGCGTCGCCGTGCGGCTCTGGCGACACCACGAAGTCGAAGTAATCCGTGGTCTTCTCCTCGGCGGCCGTCGCGCCGCCCGCCTGGCTAGGCGCAAACGCCTCGGTCAGGTCCATCGCTGATCGCTTAAGTATTCCTTGGTTCGCTCGCTGAGTATTGCCCGGTTGACTGGTCGATCGACGCGCTTATCCTCTCTACATCCTCGCGCGCCACTCGGTCTGCAACAGAAATTCGTGAACCTGAACGATCGTCGGAGCCCAGGCCGTTCGCTGCTGCGACTCGAGTTCATAGAGCGGCGATTGCCGGCGGGCGGAGATCGCGCGCAGGGACGCGCTCGAACCGGCGAGGCGATCTCGCGTCTCGTTCGCGCGAGGCGGCGATCGGCAAAAATTACCGAATGACCCACATGTAGGCAAGCGAGAAATTGGTTTCGCTCTTAATACGTATACGCCGTTTACACTCGAGTTAACGTTGCGCGCGAAAACATCCGGTATCGTTTCCAAGTTTTATGCTAATTAACGCCGCTCGCCAGCGCCTATGTTAATTTTATAATCTTATCTAGATTTTATTTACGCCAAGGAAAAAACAAAAGCATAACACACCATGTGCTCCTTATTAACGGGGCGCCCGTTAAATCTCATTTAAATTCACCACTGCAAATTAATGTAACAGAGTTCTTTCTTTGCTATTACAAACGCACGGACACACGCACACGCATCGGTTACGCAATACCAAATTGCTCGATGTTTATAGTTAAAGCGGCATCGGCAAACGAAGGAAACGTTAATCATGCGCCACGAGACTCGCGGGGCTCGCTGCGAATCGTAGCGCGGCGGCGTCGATAGCATTCGTCTGCTTCCGATAGTTCGATACCGCATCGGGCGGCGCGTTCGTTCGTTCGTTTCTTTTCTTCCCGGATGTTACGTGACGAGATACGTGCGAGCGCGCGTGTCACGTTTATTTTCAGTGCGCGCGGGGCGTGGAACGGCAGCCGAAACGCAAAGGAGATATTGAAATAGAAGGCAAACGAAAACCGCTGAAAGTATCTTAATTGCGCTTGCTCGAGATCCAGGCACGGTCATTAAAAGGCAGGAAACCAAGTGACATTGTCGGTACGTGCCGCGCGAGTCGCCGCGAACGAGCTCGAAACGGCAGCGCATACGTATAACGAAAGCGCGCTGCTCGTGCGTTACAATTCAGTCGCACGGAATGGGTTTGCTTTCCGTTCGGCCGCCGCGCTCGCCAAGCAATACGTCGATTCCGCAATTTCGCGCAATTATGTATCCCGCGAGAGTCGCGGGACGGCAAGTGGTAAAAGGAACAGCCGAAGCGCGAGCGAGCGATCATCGAGTGCACATCCCTCGTTAGCGCGCGTGGGAATAGGTAAATCAGCCAGCCGGCTCGTCGTAATTTTCTATAAAATTGTGCCTGGGTTTGCTGTCGCTGGCGCATTGTAGGGATCAATTTGGCCGCCGCTCGAATGCCGCATTCTAGGATAGCTCTGCGCTTGACGCCGTTACGTGCCCTTATACGGAGGATACGTATCGGCCCCCGGCATCTTTTGCATATCTATATATATATATATATATATATATATATATATATATATATATATATATATATTATATGGGCATTGCGTATGTATATGGCGGAGCTATGGGTCTTTTGTTGCAACGATCGAGTTTACCGATAAAAGCGCCTTGCGCGCTCTCGATACACAGATTGAGATATTGCAGCGGCCCGTCAAAACACTAAATTACTATAACTAGAAGGCGGCAGTTTTGACGAGTCGGGCATCGAGATGAAAAGAGAGGAAAAACAACAACAACGGCAGAGTCGTAAAAATGTCGACGGCGACCGTACGATTGGCAAGTGAGGTCACGAGCGCGCGGGCGGCAATTCGGCGGCGTGGGAAAGCAATTGTTTATTTTTTTTTTTTTTTTTTTTTTTTTTCTTCAAGAAGCCGCGATACACTTTGTCCACGAGCCCGGTATGTGGGTCGAAAAATCGCCGCGGTGGCAGCGCTCATTATCGCGGGCAACCTTGATCGCAGCTACGGGGGGGAAAGGCGTGACGCAAGCTCCGCGAACCACCGTGTCGTCGACGGCAGCGCCGAGTCCGCGTCTCCCCGCGGCGCGGCTGTCGTTCGGCGCGAACAATTGGAAAAGCGCCGAGTCGCGGAGCGCGCTAATGGCGCCGGTTAGCGCGGCGACGGCGGCGCGAGCGAAATTACGAGTATGGCACTCCCGCGCGACCTTGGAATGCTTGGGAAAACGCGGCGAGCGCGGCGCGCCGGGAAAAGCGAAATGCGAAATGCACCGTTAAACCTGATCTCGTCGCATGGGAAAGCCCGATCAAACCCGCCGGATGCGTGCGGATAAGCAGACGTGGCCCCATTGTTCGTCGCCGGGACATTTTTACGCTTGTAGCGCTGGCGTTGCGCTGGTCGGTCGAGGCATCTAATTACCGCGCGCGAGACCTGTTTCGGAGCGAGCCTTCGCCGCGATTTTTCCCGAGTCGCGATAAATCTATCGACAGGGCAGCGAGCCGGCGCAGGTGTCTCGCGCCGAGCATTTATACATGTTAGTCCGCACAAGTGTTTATAATTGCTGGTTCGATCGCTAATAAACTATTTGCCCCCATAATCTACCGTGTAACAACTAACTCGAGCGCGAGCTCGACGAGCATTACAACGAGCCTCAATCCAACGCGCTGCACGGAGATTAACGAGCGAGAAGGAGAGAGAAAGAAACGTCTAATTAAAACGAGAGGGCGGATTAGCAGGACTGTGTTTTCAGACAAGAGCCGAACGATAAGCGGGCCGATCGCTATCTCAGATTTTCTAAGGTTGAATTCCGAAAGTAGCGCCGATAAAGATTAGAATCGAGGCTCTGCTCGCGCGCGTGCGATAAGCGCGCGAGCAACGGCACCGAGCGAGATCGATTGTTCGCGGCTTGACGAAAGTGCTCGCGCTGGAGGGACGCGGAGAGAAAAAACGAGCTATTCTAATTAACCGCGGAGGTCGATACGCCGCCCGATAAGATGGTAATTGATTGATATTAATAGCACCGCGAGCAGCAGGCAGGTACACGTCGCAGCGCGAGGTCGGTACGGGCAGGGCGTTCCAGCCAACGGGGCATCGGACGGGACGCAGGCCGCGAACTCTCGACGGGCCTTCGTCGAGCGATAAATCATAGCTGGTGGCAGGTCGTCACCTCGAGAACGTCGAACGAAAGAGGCGCGTCGGGCCCTTCGATCGTCAGCCGAGGCGAGATAAATCCGCGCGCGTCGACGCGCGTCGACGCGCGTCGACGCGCGTCTTCTCTCACCGCGGCCGCGGGCCTCTACTAATCGTCACGCTGCGCCGCGACGATCGATCTATTTCTATTAGAAGTCAGACTGCACAAGCGGGCTTACGTAAATGCTTGCGAGAGCCACGCTGCCTGAAAAATGGCATGCGCCTGCACGTTGACAAAGGCAGTATCGCAGCCATGAAAATATGGCCTCCCGCTTTCATCCGGCCGTGTACAAGGATGTAGCAACGACCGAGCGTCGCGCTCTCGCTATCCAAACGTCAGTCTCGCGGTGCCTGGCTAACGTTTAACTTTATGACATCACGATAGCGTGACGTTTAAAATATTGCGTATCGGCTGGATTGATTGCCGATCGCGGGGCATTGCGCGGCAGGCGCGTTCCTTAAATATCCTTCGTTTGACAAGCCTCTTTGCACAGCTCGGCCGCTATTCAAGCTCGCGTGTCGCTTGCGCCTCGCGGGCGGCGGCGAGCTTACGCAAGTCGCGCCACGGATGCAAATCGCTTGCCCAGCGTGCGTTCGGGCATCGCACGCGCAGCCGTGGGCAACGAAAAGGAAGCAGTCGCCGCGCGGAGATAGAACCGAACGAGGCTGCGGAGTGCACGACAGTGACCACGTGACCGAGAGAACTGGCAGCAGCGGCAGCAGCGGCAGCAGCAGCAGAGCGCAGCGAGCCGCGAGAAAATGGTCCCGCGAGAGCGCGAGTGAAAACGCGCGCATTACGGGAGAGACTCCGAGAGAGAGAGAGAGAGAGAGAGAGAGAACTGCACGCTCGGCGCGCGCACACACTGACAAAGGGGCTGCTTGCGCAACTCTCGAACGATCCTAGAAAAGCGTACACCGTACTAAATTATAATGCCACCGCGGCGCGAGAGCCGAAGCTCTCCGCGCGCCAGACACGCGAGAATAGGCAAATGTCGGCTTGCACCATTGCTTATACATGCGCCGCGCTCTTTTTGATCCCTTCTGGCCGGCGCGCCGCTCGACTTTTGCAACGGCGCCGCGCACCTGCGTGTTTTTGGCGACGTCGCCGCGCCGACCCTGACTCACGCTGCGTTGCGACACTTTATCAGAGCCGATGCAAGCAGCTCTCACGCAGCCTGAGAGCCGGCGCTGGCGAGTCTCTCTCTCCCTCTCTTGTTTCAGGTAGTCACGACGAGGCGCGCTCCATCGATCATTCGAATCGAACGACAAGACAAAAAACCAGGCTAATGCACCGAGGCAGCGCGTCGTTACGGGGGAAAGCGAGGGGCGGGAGGCTGCGCGGCCGCGCGCCTGCGAGAGTTTTTCCTTTGTTCGCGCAGCGCGAGAGAGCGAGAGAGCCCAAGGACGAAGCTGCTGCCGCCGCTGCAGTTGCTCGTGACGAAATCGCCGGCGTCGAGTGCCCAGTGCACACGCTCGCGCGATAACGGAAGCCAGGCCGATCTCGCTCCTGCCGGCTTCGTCGGCGGCCGACCGCTCGCGCGGATCCGCTTCTCTCGGCGCCTATGCTGCCACTTCGCACGGCCAATTTGTCGGGGCTGCCGCTGCTTTTCGTCGAGCGATCGATCGAGCGGCTCGCGTTATATTTTGAAATGGCGTTTCAGATTATTCGGGACAAACGAGTGCCTTTGCGTTCGTCGTGCCTCTGAAAAATTGTAGGCTTCGCCGCGTTGGCGCAACCTGCCACGCGCGGAATGTGGTTTTGGATGTTCTTATTCTTGCTTTTATAAATTTTCTTTGCGCAATCGCGCAGCCGGAGCTCCGCGCTTCGCGCTTGCAGTCTCTCGACCTTTGGTCGCGCGAGCGGTGTCGCAAGCACCAGCGTTTTCGCTGCGATCGCGCTGGAAAGGCCCGAGTTTTCCCCCGGGGTACGAACCGAGCACCGGGCGCCCCGCTTGGAAGCTTCGAAGCTGCCAGAGAGAA